AGACAAATCGTTTTCTTCAGTCGCACATGATCTCAGCTCGCGCGTCGTCACCGAGTCATATACAATCTACTCCTCATTCTAGTTTATTTCGCTTGTAACCATTCAAATATGGTTCTTATTTTAACGCCACTAAGTATTAAACTACCGCAGCACTCTTGTGTGACGTTCGGAAACATTCCATTTGTGTGTGCGAGTTTTTTTTTTTGTTGTTTTAATGTCCCTAATTTATTCTAAGTAGATTTAATTTTACCTAAGCTAACTTAGTTACCGAGTAACAAATGCGCGAAATGTTCGAAGATTGACCGCTGAATATAACAAAAGCTCTCGTATCGATCGGTACAGCCTGGTTTCAAACAATCATTCAACTCGAATCCTTCCAAATAATCACCGGACTAAGTTTCTTATGCCCGTTTTCACCATTGTACCCTCAAACGCTCCCTATATAAGGGTGCCCTAACATAAGGGATTTCCCAAATCAGCCCGTCACCTAAAATCATTTTCACCAATAGCTAGGTGATTTTTTTTTAATCAGTACATCGTATTTCTAGAAGTTTTAACACATAAATATATATACACAATAATGGTGTAAAAAATGTTTTTCATTTATTCATATTTAAAATTACATTATAAATGTATATTTCGTTTATAAATTTTTAATGAAAAGTTGACAGACGGTGGAGACGGGCATTAATGTCTCAATTTTATATTATTCTCTATAATGCGTAACTTTAATTTTCATGTTTTAACTTTCTATTACTACTCTCTTCGCACCACACAGGCTTTCATTATCTTTTATTTGCCAAAATTTATGTACAGTTATAGATCACCGCAGTCTTCCAAAAAGCTGCTATGGCGGACGCGCGCCATCTTGATTAGCACTGTGAACGTACTTAGCTATTTAGTCGTCATATTCAGTAATCTTAATGTAAGATTAAGTTAAAAAAAAGCGCGCATACTTCTTTGCTCTCAAAGGTACTTGTCTCGTCTAAATGGCACTTACAAACCGTACCACGTAATTACGTTTTTTTTTTTTAAATAATAAATTAATACAACATTCTATACAAAAGGAATATTAACAAGTTTACAAAATTTACTTCAGTTACTCCACAAGACATTTTATTGAGATATATTCCGTAAGATTTGAGATTTTTATTATAATTTTTTTTAATTTAGGTAATGTTTTATTCTCTTGCAATTTGAGTGTTTTCACTACTTTAAATTCGGTATGTACATAAATATTGACAAATCTTTAGACTATATCGTCCCAGCTCGATTAGTTCATATTTAGCAGTTTTTGCAAGAAAATGTTTTTCCATAAAGTTCCCATTACCTTTAATTGACTTTGAATTATTTCTAATTAGCGATAACCACTCTTCATTATAACGGACCCTTGTAACGAGCGGAATTATGTAGTCGACTCTTGGAATGATAGACCGATCGCAGATTTTCATTCCAACTGTACGAAGTATACCTTAACAGCAGACGCGTACTCTCGTACAACCCTCGAGGGCAGATCTACAGAGAATTGACTCCATCCATTCAAAAACTGATCCCGGGGGCATATTTTCATAGGAACGACAACGGGCCTTGTTAAACAGTTGCTACTACGTTCGCTTACGTTTCGCACCTCGACGCGTTCGAACGCATTGACACAATATCACACAGACGCAGAAGTCGACCTGTGAGGTTTAAGAGTGCCCGTGCTTTCTTCAAATTTGAACGGTTCAACTTCTGTTTCTTTAATGCTCTATCAGGTTGCGTTTGTGAGTTCAGTACGTCCAAATTAAACGGCAAACGCCGCACCACTCAGCGCTTGACGTACGCTCTGAGATTGAAAAGTAGCGCACAAACTGTCCTCATCTCCTCTTTATCGTGTCAGCAGTTTTAAAGTGATAGTTGCCAAGACGGCCGCCGCGCGCATTTACGCCTTCTAGCTCGTGCAAATCATCAGTATTTGTATCCAGATCAGTATATTAGAACCTACTTTATGTTATTAGCTAATCGGCAAACGGAATATAAATCTTATGGTATTAGTGAATCAGTCCCCGTATAAGATATATGGTATTAGCGAAGTTGTATTCATTCTGTAGACACTTTCATGTAATCACGTTTATATAGAATACCCAGTTATAATTAATTAAACATGGAACCGTCTTTAAAGAGAAACTGTAATAAATCCGTCATTCGTCAATTATAAAATGGAAGGAAGCAATGTAAAATTTATTCGTATCCAAATTGTTAAAACCTAATGCTCACATACAAACGAAATTTAAAAAAGTATCTCTTACGCCTTGCAACATTATTATAAGTAGCTAATCAACGTATTTTCACCGCGAGGAATATTATTATTTCTAACCTAACATAATAAACGTGAGAGTTTTTTTACACGAAATAAAAATAATGACTAATGTAATTAATTAATATATAATATTGATAGAAAATTATACAATACATTTATAACACATTTCACAATATCCGTCATATAATTCTTTTTTTTATTTATTTAAATATATTCTGCTTCGCCATCGCTCGAAATAAGTTCTTCGTTATCGCGACTATCGCAGGCTACAAAGAACTTGCATATTATTGTATAAATGGCAACAATTTTTATTAACGTTGTCTTAGGTGCACTTATGTAGAAGTTATCCTGATCATGTTTTACTTTTAAATTTATATTTTTTACTTTATAACTACGCTTTCCGTCGATTAGTGTTTCACTTACATTAAGTTTCTCGGCAGCTACCTACCCGTTAAACTGTAAAGACCCTAAATCTACTATCCCTAATCACGCGATCGAATCGAATTTTATTTGCGAAAATTGCAATAAAAATTTGTTGTAAGAATGGAGCCTATATATAGAAATATTTTGCCTTTATATACCACTTTCGGTTGTTTAACACCACCATTTTCGGATTCGATAGCGTACTTAGGGACAGTCGAAATTTGTATGACGTATGCTAAGTTAGTAGTTAATTAACCTTAATCGAATGTTTTAAGCAGGGTTCGACGTGCGTCGTTCAATTACTGTTAGGCTATACGAGACTTAGTATTAATCACGGTGGATATGTTGGAGTCTTTTTTTTTATTTTTTTATATATTGCACGTTATATTCCTCACAAAGTTTATTCACACGAAACAAGTATGGCAACCGTTAGCATAATGGTTTTTCTACGCTCCCTTACGTGTACATAAATATAGATATATTCGCTTTTAAATGTAACATTTTACAATTTTATATGCGTTGTTATTTGATTACGATGTTTGATTAGCAAAGACAGATGTGTGCAATATCTAAGAAACGAACATTCTTATTGTATTTTGTAATAATGATCGATTTATTTATGATTTTTTTTATTTTTTTTAATATTATACTAGTTTTAGTTTGTGCGACAAAATATATTATACAGTATGATTCGAAACGCTCGTATCGACGATGATCGCGTATTGTTGCGATAATGCACTCATAAATTCGGGTCAGCAGAGTTAGGTTATATGCACCTGTAATGCTTTTTTCAGTATAATTATGTATGTTTTAATAGTTTTAACTCAAATAATTGTAATTTTTGGATTGAAGTTACTATGCATAAGAAACATCTGCAAATATTTTAACCCCATTGGGCTGTAGAGTTTAAGCCGTGGAACTTTATGGACTTTAAATTTAAAATGATAATAATTATTTTGTTTTTTTTTTTCTCATTGACACAGTTTCCGAAATATATTAATGAGAGATAGTTTTTGTATAGCAATATTACACGCTCATGGCTAACGTTTAAAGACATTTTAGTTTAAGAGATAAATCGATGTCACTAAATCGCTTACTTTCGGGACCATACAATCTTGTAATCGCTTATGGGCCATTACGGAATTGTATGTCAGACCGTTGTTTATAAAATGAAACATATTTTCGTATAACCCGTGTCGCAACCCTAGCTAGTCTCGGGCCGACTACTGTGACGCAACAAAACGACCTCAAGTTCATTTATTTTCCTATTCGTAATCTAATATACTTTAACTAATGTACTGGTAACGTTAGATTCATTATATTGTGTACTTTAATAAAATCCTCTGTTCCAATGAGTTGTTTTTATTATTCACCCGATCACCGACACTGGAATCCAGAAGGTAATGTATGCTGAAGTCGAGAGGTAACTATTGAACATTCTAGTGTAAGTAAACGCTTCATATGGGAGGGAATAGTTTTGAAAAAGGGGGAAAACGCGTGGGCGTATTTCGCCAAATATCAACTAAAAGTTTGCCCACCTTTATATTGTCGCTAGCCAGTAAGCAGTACAACATAAGCACTTATCATTTGTTATTAACAAGTTTTGAATTAATTCGCAAGCGAGCCCTTGTTAAATAACACAAATATTCAGAAGAGTTACCTCTCCCATATAAATACGCCAGCAGTAAAATAAAACTCGCAAATTCATCAGGCATTACAATTCTCAAATCTAGAGTTTGGGTGATTATGAGTGTTAATAATGCTCCTATGAACTTCTGGGCCATCAAATGTTCAGTAGTCTTTTTAATCAAAAAGGTCACAAATGTGACTAAGAGAAGAAGTTTTGGTAATGTAAGAACAACATCGAATTTAATAAATTTGCCATTTTTCACTGAAATGGACTTACAGCAGGGCTTCGCATGATAATTTCAAGTGCACAGATTTGTTAAATTAATTACTGACACATTTATAAGGAATCTTTAAAAAAAAGTGTATAATATTAAAATCGCAATGGGCGTTTACCTATAACGAGGGTGAATTAGGATGAGAAAATAAAAAGCTTTTTTTTTTTTAAATCTATATTTTATTTAAGTGTAAATAAGTAAGGCACTTTGCACATTTTTTTTGTTTGTTAATAAATTATATACGTTTCGTTTTGTTAGAGATTTCGTCTTAAATTATGTTTTTTTTTTTTTTTTTTTTTAGTTTAGATTTAGTCATAGTTAAGAACACAAACGTTAAGTGTAGACGACAGTCCCAGGCTGGGTCTATATCATTAGGCCATGTTTTTGTACTTGGTGAACAGATTGTACAACACGCGCAGGGTCGATTTGAGGTCGAGATTCACGATGTCTGAAACGGGAAAATATCAATTGACAATAGCTTTTTATCGAGATAACATTTGACATATAACCGTCCGGGAGATGGACAGTTATATGTGAAAAGAATACACACTGCTAAGTGTCCATACGTGTCTACACACCTTTAGCCGTATAAGACATCGCAGACACAAAACATAACATAGAATATCTAACAAGAAGCCACCACAGAGGTGAACATTTGCTATATTTAAATACCATCCCAATGTAAAGTTAAAAGTGTCAACATCTACCATCCTGAGAAACACATCAAGATACTGCAGTCAGATATCTTTCCAATTCAAGTTGCCAATAAAGACACATACTCCATTGAGGCATGAATGAATCACAAACACCCTTCACCGCGAGAAGTAAAAATTACACCCTTAAGGAAATAAAAATGTTTATAAAAAGCACGGTTGGCACAGCTCTGCGATGTGGGTTCGATTCTCATCATCCCTACACCGGACAGTTGTTGACTCCGTGATTATTCCCTAGTGACTAGGGTAACACTTTTACGGGCTAACAAAGGCCGTCACCTTCGGGCCTGGCCTTGGGCTTGGCGAGGCCGACGTCCTGCATCAGCTCGAAGGCGAACGCCACGTTGTGCACCTTCTGGTCGAAGTCCTGCGGCGTCAGGTGGAAGTCGTACAGCGGCACGAAGAACCCCTCGAGCAGACCCATCAGCAGGCAGAGGTGGACGCCGTCGTGGAACTGCGTGTCCAGGTCCTGCACCTCGAGGTTCACCTTGCTCAGGTGCTTGTTCACGAACGTGATCAGCGACTGCGCTCACCAATGGGACAGACCGTTCAATACTGGAGATGAACTACTATACAGCGTGTCTTTACAATGGCGACAATAAATGAACACACATATAGAGGATAACTTTTTAAAATTGTATTAAACATTTACATTCTTTAAACATCAATATTTACAGAGTTATTAAATTCTCCAAAACAAAGAATTTTAGAACACCCTTACCTATAAAAGTGTAATGTAAAGTTCATTTGTAAAGGTCACAAAGCATATGAAGTGGTTGAATGAATTTAAAGGAGACAAAACATACTGTTAGAAGGAGAGGCTTGTAATGCGACGCTGTGGCGCGAGTTGTATAGGATGTTAAAAATTTTGTTTCTTTTTTACTTAATTAGTTCGTTTGAAAAATATTTTTTTTTAATTATGGATTTTGCTTAACGTTAATATTTTTTTATGATTATTGGCAAGTAGCGTTAGACGTATGTTCATTTATTGTCGCGATGGTAACGACACGCTGTATATTATTTAGAAACAGCTTAGAAGTGATCATCTCATTCCCAGTGGTTATTATCATTAATGTATTAATTTTTGAAAGGTTATTCTTTAATATTCTTTCTAATGTAACTGGTATTTTGTCGTACAAGCGTATACACCGTCCCACGAACGATTCGCTTGCTCTATGGAGTCCAGTGAATGGCTCTACGGAATTGTGTTTGTCCCCAGCATTCACATTGTGTACATCAGTACTGGTCAGACGAGCAGGCGAGGTACCTTCTTAACCACTTGGAGCTTGTCGGGCGCGTGGTCGAACAGAGCGTCGAAAGCATCCCGCTCGCACTTCATGCCGAGGTCGTCGTAAGTGGTCGTAATGTCTTCTATGTACGTCCTGTTAAAAGTATACAGTATATATATATATATACAGTACACGGTGGCACATCAGCCTGCGTTCATAGGGTCGTTGATTATGCCTCCCTCTAGTGACGAGGAGATGAGATATAATATTTACATGATATTTATTAATAAATGTACAATTTATGCACATGACAGTGAGCGTTCGCTAGCTATGAATGATGATGAATGTAAGGCGTGCGGGGCGTTCGACTGCAATATCAAATTACAATTTGCCGCCACATACAACCCTCACCTTTTAAGAAAATAGTAACATGAAATAAATATTGGTGTATCAATAAGTAAAGAAATTTAATGCGGTTCACCGGATGTAAGCAAATACCGCCGCCCATGAACATCTGCTACACCCGAGGGTAGCAGTTGCGTCGACGACCTCTTGGAAATTGGGAAAACTAACTCGCTCACCAGACGAAACGCGAAGGTATTATACTTCCACATAACGCCGGCCTTCCGCAGGTCGTACTAATAACCCGATTGATAATAACCCTGTAATTCGATGACTCCGTGGCGCAGTTGTCAAGGTATTGGCTTCGGCGTCGGGGTCGTGGGTTCGATTCCCACACGGGACAACTATTTGTGTGACCCACAGGTAGTTGTTTCGCATCTGGGTGTTTGTCCGCGTGAAATTTATGTTTGTTAAACGTCCCTACAACACAGGATAATATTATTCTAAAGTAAGGGCAAAGTTTTTTACGAAAAAAAAAACTCGGACGGGCCTGCCCACTCGTGCAACAGCCGAGGCAGCTGCGTGACCCTACCGCGGTAAAACCCCACACCCATCGAGGAGGGCTCGCTAACGTGCGAGCGGGCCCACCTGTGCGAGAGCTGGTTGGGGGCGTCCTTCTTCACCACTACCACGTTGACGCTCACGTTCTCCGGCAGACGGACGGGGGCGCGGAAGTGGCGCGCCAGCGCCACCAGCAGGTGCAGTATGGAGACCACGTTCTTCGAGTGCACAGAGTCCACGCTCCACTTCAGCGCCGGCTTGGACGCACCGAACAGCACCTGAAACGTCCCCATGCCGTTATATCGACCCGCATTTCTATTTTTTTTAAAAACACTGCCCTTACTTCAGGACAATAATTATTATCCTGTGTTGTAAGGACGTTTTACAAACATAATTTTCACGCGAACAAACACTCAGACGCGAAACAACTATCTGTGGGTCACGCAAATAGTTGTCCCGTGTGGGAATCGAACCCACGACCCCCGACGCCGAAGCGAACTTGGCAATACCACGGAGTTATCAAACGATTCATTTGGAACCTAGGTGCACCCGGTGAACGCAGTGCCAATATTTACAAGGCTCACTTTATCACTGTTGCACCGAAACCTCAAGCCTCGATACTCGACCGCGTACTATCTTACTTAATTTGTGCTTATATGCTCTTATATGCTAGCCAACATTGACCCAAAAAGGTCGAGCAAGATTGGTAGAAGAAAATTGTCAATTGAGCAGGCTGTTCACCTAGTTTTGAGACATAATTTTATCAATGAATGTAACAAGCTGCCAATGAAGCTAATCAAAACAAAACAAACAAAACCTACTATTTGGCCCTCTAGAGTTCTTCTACCTTATATCGCAATGTCTTTTACGTAGTTGGCAACTAATATCTGACAATCAATATCTGCCCACACCATGCTCCGCTGTTAAAGTTGTAAGACATCACTTCGTTCTAATCTTTGCAAATGGATCTATCCTTTAAAGCAGTAAAAAAAAATTTTCTTTTTTCAAAGATTGGTTCTTACGTCCTAAAAAAATCACGCAATATTTTTCCACTAAATTTTAAATAAAGAGGACAAATAATGAGTGAATCTTTCCTTATAAAGTCCACGTCGCGTTTTATACTTCTGCATACGTTTTTCTTTAAAAATAATAGGTATGAAATCCTAAAGAAAGAAAGTAATCCTTAGTGTCGGCAGCAAAATATTACAAAGATAACCATTTTGTAAATTCGTAAGTCTACTGCAGGGAATTGAACATAAAGGACTAATATTTTGTTATTATTTATACTGGTCATTAACACTAGCAGTTAACAAGTTTTAAAAAATTAATGACAAAGATTAACTGTAATCAGACTACCCACCCATATCTGTGGACGGTAAGCAGAAAAAGTAGATGATGGATTTTTTTATGTGAAAGTTGCCAAGCGAGCAGACGGTTCACCTGATGTTAAGTGATAACGCCGCCCATGGCCATCTGCTACATCCAAGGGTTCCAAATGCGTTGACAACCTTTTGAAAATTGGGCTCCGGCCACCTCACTCACCAGACGAAACGCGAAAGTATTATACTTCCACTTTACGCCGGTCTTCTGTGAGGTCGTGGTACTTACCCGGATGAGCTTGCCCATTCGGGCAAAAGCCGAGGCTGCTGCGTGGCCCTTCCACCGTTACAATTATTTGAATACTACATAGCAAAACATAACTTTGAAAGCATATGATGTCATCATAACATAAAGGGTTACAATAACTTCATATTGTGGGTTCACATATTGAATCGGATAATTTCAAAGCACCTCTAAATTGCATAAATACAACAAACTTATCGAAATTCTTACTTCAACTTTCGGCTTTTTTAGAAATGTACAATTGTTTATGTAAGAAGAAACTGTGCAACTTAGGCTCATCCTTTTCTCAGGACTTGTAGAAATAGTACAACAATAAAAACTAATTATAAGAAACATAATCTACAACACCAACTAATTATAAGAAACATAATCACCCTATTAACCGCTCTCAAAACAATAGCTAGTTTTTGTCGTTGGCCTTCCTCAGACTGTGTTACTTCCGGAACATCCAGTTTCGTTTCAGTCAACTTCTCCAACAGCTTCTGTAAAACCTGTCCATCATACAAGTCTTCACTGATATCCTTGACAATAATCCTCTGCATGGCAAGCTCGTCATTAATCCAGTCTATCAAGACTTGTATCAACTCCTTAACTCTTGGATCTTCTAGGGACCTTGGTTCTATAATCGCTCTCTCTTCATTGTCATCTGTAAAAAAATCCATGTCACTCAAGTAGCACTTAATAAAAGTATGATTTTAATGTTAAGTTCAGCCTTTAGCAAATAATATCTACAATGAAACAAAGCATTTGTAAATGACATGCAACATTTGTGCGTGGTCTTGCCTTATCTCCATTACCAACCGTAGAATGCATAGGGATAACACAAGTTAAAAATAAATTATCAGCTACGTCATAATGAACATCCTGCTCACTTTTAAGTTTTACACATTCACTGGTGTACACTTTAGTCTATGAAAAAAAGAAATAGTAAATAAATTCCAGTCAATTTTTTTGATTTGTTAATTTTTAATTATAATTAGCAGTGATAAAAAATTTGTGCCAGTGCAAAATGTGATTTGTAAATGGAGTTACTGTGAAATTATTTATATATCAAATATGTGAAGACATGATTCTATCATAAAATCAGTAAGGTTCATGACATAATTTGATGGAAAAAATGCTTTTATTTCCAAACAAAATGTATTTGTACAAAGGAAGTAATTTCGAGTTTTAAAAAAATTAGAACTAAAAAGAACCATGTATTTATTAACATGGTGGTGTAAAAAAGTAAAAATGTACTCACGAAGGCTGTATTCCTCTGGGGGAACTTCAGGAGCTGTGGGACTTCCAGGTGAATCAATTGCATACTTTCCTTCCGCTTGGACATCTTGTACTAAAAATAATATACTGATATGAACATCTACAAATCATAAAGTTAAAAGCATTTTGTTTAAAAGTACTAAAATCAACCTATTTATAAACTTGTTATTTTACTTTTAATTACTTGTAATTTTACACAAAATTTGTTACACATTGAACAGAAATTTTTAAGTCTACACAGTATAATTGATGTTGCAGAATGATATAATCAAGAACAGCATCCCACACAACACAAGTTTCGTAAAAGTCGGAATTTAGGCCACAAACCTTCCTTTATGCGTTTCTTCCTACCAATAGTGCCAATTTTATCCCAAAAAGATTCTTCTTTATCTTCTTTTTTAGGCAAGACTGGTGTTCTTGGGGATTTAGGGCGTGGTGAAGACATCTTCTGGAAGACTACTTAGTAAACAGTAAACACGAAAATGAGTCACGTTCTTAAAATTAACTGAATTGTTATTCACCAGTATACATTAATATGTATTAATATACAACAGATACGTTTCAACTACAATTTATGTCAATGCGAGCCACTATTTGGAAGCTTTTACAATATTTACCTTCAACCCAATTTAACTCAAGAAATAAATTTTTTATCTGTAGTGCCAGGCCAAATCTAATTCTGTTTATTACGTTAGCATAGGGATTGACTTTGATCGATCGCATTTTGTTATTTTTTTATGAATTTTGCGCATATTACTATCAAAATTAAATTTAATGTTATCAAGAAACACGTTTTTATATCGTAATAACAACTTACGAATTAATAATAATAGTATAGTAATAACAATTTACGAATATTTTTTAAACGTATAAGTTTAAACTTGACTGTGTATCATTTATAATATCATGTATAATTTATCAAAATATAAAAAATAGGTGCTACAGAGGACTTCTAGTCAATTTTTATATCGTATCTGAATCTTTTGCGTTATTCAAAATATAATTTTGAATCATTTCAACACATTGTAATTTGCATTGCACATGATTAATTATTTAAATAATTTCAAATTCATTAAGAGGGCGACGTTCTCATTTAAATAATAATAAAAAAAGCCTTTTATTTCACATCTAATAAAATTTAGCGAGAACCCCTTTTGATTTGAGGGTGAAGACCTCCTCCAAAGAATCCCAGTAGTCTCTATCTGTGGCGTTTTCTTTCCACAGTTTACCAGCCGTCCCTTCAATGTCGTCATCTGCTTCTAGGTCTTCTTCTTATTCTATTACCCGTGGGCGTGACCATAACGTCAGCCGAGAAGTCCATCTATCATCGCTCATCCTTGCTACGTGACCCGCCCATCGCAAATATAATCAATTTTCAGTGCATACATTAACATAATCATATCTGAATCTTTTGCTTTATTCAAATAAGACTTTGAATCTTTTCAACACATTGTAATTTGCATTGCACACGATTACTATTTATTTAAATAATTTCAAATCCAATAAGAGGACGGCGTTCTCATTTACTTGATAATGAGAAATTACATGTTCTCTACCGATTAATTTTTATTAACATATTAATGTTTTGAATCGCCAAAAAGTTTTTGCATACTCCATTTTGAATAATTTTGTTTAGTTCTTCTACCATGAAATTGACTGTGTTTAACAGCGGTAATTTCATTAAACTGCTGCTCTATTATTAGGTATTATCTAAATCAGGTATTATTATCGTTAATTTTTATACCTTCGAGGCTTCGATTCTACCTCATGTTTTTTTGTCTGTGGTGTAGTTGTGAATTAGGAGCGGTACTAAAAATCTCTCAACTGAGAAAAAACAAAACATTATTTACGCTAGGCATTAACACGCCTGCACTGTGCTAATTTTGAATTTAGAGCAAACATATCGAGTAAGTGTTTAAGAGCTGTATTAATTTTCTTGAACGATTCTTTACGGAATTACAGAAAAGCATATGCTATGCCATATAATTAGTGGGATCATGACTAAAAATAACTTCAAGATTATATTGCATCATATGCTAAGTTCACACTAGTGTATTGCTATTGTGGTAGGCCGTTTCTGAGCGAACGCTCGTGTTGCAGGGCTCATAATGGAGAAAAGTGGGAATCCGCCGCCATATGGTTGGGGGAATACGCACACAGTGCAGCCGCCGCCTGCCGCACCCCCGAGTTATTCCCAGGCCGTAGGGGGTGTTGGACCGTCCAGCCCGTATACACCGCAATATCCGCCGTGTGAGTATAAACCATCCCACTCGTATTTTTACAGATGGCCTTAAAATTCGTGAATACGTGAACGTGAGTAATTGTACGGCCTTGTAACATTTCGGATTTGTTATTGCACCTCGTACGCGACTGCTTTAATACAAACATTATACGATACATGTAAATTTTTAAAACCTTAAAAAACATTCTACCATTCATAGTATTCTTAATATTGTAAAGATTCATTTTATGAGATTGACATTTAAAAATGTATGATGTCATATTTTACAGCTTTAAATAACCTTGTCAGATGTTAACAAAATGTCAGTTATCCTTACAAAATCTACCTGCAAAATAATATATTATAATTAATAAACTTAAAAAATATCTATAGCTTGAAATATTATTCAGCCTTGAATAGTTTTGGTTTTATTTTTTGGCAAAATGTATTGGGATGAAGAATATATTGAGTTTGACCAATATATTCTTCCAAGTATTTCACTTGCTGACACTTTTTAGATGTTTTCTAAAGTCTCACTTTAATGTTTCAATTGTGCTAATAAAAATAAGATATTTGAAAGATTAATTTGTACCGTTCAAATATTGAAATTATTAATACCAAAATGACAAATAGATTAAAAGCTACTATTACTTATGTTTTTATCATTTTTATGTATGTTTCATTTAAAGTATATGTTTATTTTTGTTGCCAGGGAATTGTACTGATCTCAAATAATTGCAGTGTAGAAAAATTGTAGAATTGGCTTGAACATCTAGAAATAATATTTTCAAAGTTTAGCTCATGACAAAGTGTCATACAAATATGCAAGCTAACAAATACTTGTTAAGGCTTCAGGAAATTCAATTAGCACTGTTTTCGACACAAAATGTAGCAGGTGAACAGTGAGGATGTCTATTGCATCCATCTGTCCCGTGACTATAAATGCAGTTGACAGATTATTTTAAAATTTAAAAATAGTTTGATTAATTAATGACAGCGAGGAAAATTAAATGTGTCCCACTCCGAAGCACTCCCTTACTTCCAGTTGCGAGTTTTTTAGAACAATTTCATTAGGTAGTTAAGAATAAAGAAGGTCTCATCTGCTGTTGGTAATATAAAAGGCCACATCAAAAAACTGAATATTGTTGATAGTTTTTAAATTGATAGATTTTAAATAATTCTTCTAGATTTTATTTCTTCAACACTTGGACCTTGTCTAAAAAAAATTGTGGCATCTCCATTTAATGTAGTTCCTAAAGTTTTTAGAAAAAAAATATAAGTACTAAATGTTCAGTGGTCTTTTCTTGCCTTGCTAGATAAAACATCTACATCTATGTATATAAATAAAATCAGAGAGGTCTGGTCAATTAACACTTAAGTTTTATTCCGTGACACTTGGCGGTTATTTAAGAAAAATACATTATTCAGCCGCTAAGGAACACAGACCAAATCGCGTATATCCGCTAGTTATCAAATGAAAATATCAAAATCTGATTCTTTCGCAAAAATCACCGCACGTCTCTGTTTAGAACTAACCACGTTTGACGAAATATATTGCGCTTTCCAGCACCGTGTATTTACGTTGGATTTATATTCGCATGCTAACACCATATGCCTTTAAGTTATGATGTTCCGTTACAACTTTGTGCGTTCTTTTAGCTTCGGGCCCTCAGATCGTGACGACGGTGGTGCCAGTGGGCTCGCACCCCACCCACATGATATGTCCGAGCTGCCACGCCGAAATCGACACCGACACGCAAACGAAGCCGGGCCTAATAGCTTACATATCAGGCGCAATCATATTCCTAGTGGGGTGAGTTGGTACCTAAGTCTTTCTGTGTTGTTGTGTGCGCACGAAATCCGTTTATTGACCTTCCCACCGACTGGTCGACCGGCATCGCTGGCGAGTTGGAGCGTCGCTGGTTGTGCGCCATCGTGTGAAACTTGCGGCCATGGTCCGGTCATTTTTTTATGGGGAAAATAGCGGCCAAAAGGCAGGAGGCTCATCTGATGGGAAGCGATCCCCGCCGCCTACGGACGCCTGCAGCACCAGAGTGCTTACAGATGCGTTGCCGGCCTTTTGGGAAAGAGTATTGCTCTCTTCTTGAAGGTTCCCAGGTCGTAACGGTCCGAAAAGCCGGTTCCACGGAGTGATTGAAAGGAAGAAAGAAAGAAAAGTTTATTTGGTAAATGGCTTACAAAAATTATTTGCAATAAAAAGAAAAACAATGTACATGCACCAAATAGGTTTCCACCCAGTATGAGTTCACGGTTGCGCGAGGAAATGCCTTGAAAACCGCGCTGCTGTAGAACGCTGGACATCGAGGTGGTGTGCATGAAATTGGGTCATGGTCCGTACCGAAACTCGTTGGCCAGTATTTTTTTTTTATGTGAAAAGTTGACAAACGAGCAGGCGGTTCACCTGATGTTAAGTGAATACCGCCGCCCATGGACATCTGCTACACCCGAGGGTTACGGATTCCTTGACAACCTTTTTAAAATTGGGCTCCGGCTACCTCACTCACCAGACGAAACGCGAAAGTATTTGTCACACTCCCACTTTACACCGGTCTCCTGTGAGGTCGTGGTACTTACCCGGACGAGCCTGTCCGTTCGTGCAATAGCCGAGGCTGCTGCCTGGTCCTACCGCAGTTGTACCGTATGAGACAATCCTTCCGTTTAAAATACCGCACCCATGAGCATATAATCTATGGACTACAAAAACAGTTCAGTTAAAACAACTATAAAAGGGCTGCCGACGATACCCAATGACACGGGCTGCGACCCGAACAAGACAAATTATTGCACGTCCGCTCCAATTTTGGGTTTTTGGGCGAGGCTTTTTCTTCGATTTTTGCCAAAGTTTGCCAAAAAAACGGGCCAGCGGTTAAACTAACACAATCCACCACCACATCTAGTAGGTTTGCAGACGCGTTGCCAGTCATACTTTCATTTTCTAGTATTTTTAGTAGTCAACGTAATAAACGAATATAGTTAAAGATGCTCGTACATTACTGCGGTTAGCGCAAGTTAATTTGTTTTTTTTTTTTCATCAAATTATTCTTGTATTTAGCACATCCGCTTTTATAACAGTTAACAAATAAGTTTTATATTTAATCTTTATTTTTAGTGATGGTCTCTGCACTTAATACGAAATTATACATTACTAGCTGACTCGGCAGACTTTGTTTTGCCATATAAATTATTTGTAGGGTAGAAAATAATGTTTGATGTAGAAAATAATGTCTTAACATTTAGGGGGATGAAAAATAGATGTCCGATTGTCCACCCTGGCCGATATGCACACAAAATTTCACGAATAGCGGTCGAGCCGTTTCGGAGGAGTTAAATTACGAACACCGTGACACGAGAATTTTATATATTAGATTATTGAAGTATGAATTTATTACAAAGTCAATTGCGGTTTAATGGCCTCGGTGTTAATTAAGAACAAGCAGACTGCCTTTGCTCAGTCAAGTCTAACGATCATCACAATGAAACCACAACACGTAATATATTTATTAATAAGTTTTCCGTGAAAAAACTTACACAACTAGGAATTTACCTAGAAAGTGTAGATTCCCTTAGTTCATCTGTCCTTAAAACGAGACTAGATTTAGATGTAATATAGTATGTTTAGATTTTCTTATAGCATAATTTTTTTAAAGTGTCAATTCAATTCCAAATTGTTCTTATTTATTTGATAATTTTGTTTTAATTATTAATTTTAATTTTTGTCGATTATTACTATGGGCTTTTGCCTGAAATAAAGAAAAACTATAATTGGTTCTCACGATTTTCGTATTGTAGTTTTGAGGTCAGTTGACGAAATTACTCGCATATTCCCAGCGGGTTTTTTATTGTAGCACGGGTGAGCGCTCGCTCTTAATTCAATATACTCGAGCAACGATATTCGATTCCCAGTGCCGACCAATGGCATTGTTAATTTTAAGTGCTGAATTATGACGTGCTCAGCGGTGAAGGAAAACATCGCGAGGAAACCTTCATATTTTTTAAATAATAACAAAAAAAAAGATACTTCGAAGTTTCGAACTATGCCCTAATACCCTCTCTACAGAGGAGGCCTTTGCCCAGCAATGGATCGTGTATATATGTATGTGTATCAATCACATCGAGGTGAAGTGTAAATGTTATACTTCTGCGTTTCCTGCTGGGAGTCGGGCGACCGGAGCGCACTTTATGAAAGTCTCCACGGACGCCGTTTATCACTTAACATCATGTGAACCTCGAGTTCGCCTACCACCTTCTCACATAGCAGGTTAATTTTTTTTTTTTTTTTATTAAAGATAAAACCGACTTCAAATATTTCGCTCTTTAGTTTTACGATTGATTTTCAGTAGTTCCCTTCGTATCCCCGGAGCCCAAAATCCAATACCAATGAAATTAATATCGGGCCACGTGGGTAGCGTCGGCTTTCAAACAAAAAAAAAAAGAATCATCAAAGTCGGTTCGCTCCGTTGAAAGTTCTGAGGTATCAAACATAAAAGAAATACAGTCGAATTGAGAATCCTCGCCGCATTTGAAGTCCGGTAAAAAAAAAATATTATGCGCAACCCAAAAATGACTTCGCTACATTGCGAACGTGCTAAGCGGTTGTTGTTTCACTGCACGCGACAATCGTTGCAAATTTGCGATTCAAAATCGACCCTCGTTAGAAACTTATGCGACCGCGACGCCGCAGCCGTTGGGGTGAAAGCGGCCGTAATAGGTTTTCGAAAGTATGTACGTCACATACTCCGGTCTTTAAACCCACACAATTGCATTGTTATCCGACGTTGCAGCATCCGAAATCAATATACACATAACTATGCGCTTGTGTTAATACCACAGCTGCGAGTTTGTCACATAAAAAATAATACCATTCCCATTTTCAAATCCCTTCGATACTTCATGTTTGTTCTAAATAGGTAATCATTCTTGATCCTGTAAGTGTCTCATTACTTATAGTGACTAAACTTGCAAAGTTTGACATTAAATAAGAGAAATAAAAGTTAACATGAAATCGAAAGTGTTTAAATGCCATATATTAATCCCGTAATAGAAGTCTTAATAATCAATGAAAATTTATCTCGATACATATCAAGAGGCGTTCGGAAGGTCTTTTTAACCTTGATGCTACACTCGGCCATGCCGAGGACAGACGCCGCTTAATAAATACTAACGCATAACAACAAGAATTATGTAATCGATCGGAGTAACCAATCAACGCGATTTTGACCATATTTTTAATATTATATGTACCTCCTATCATGTTACGATTTCATCATTCCATTTGTTTTGCAATCACATTCTATATTTAGCTTTCCTTATCAACAACCTTACACGTTTCTTTTGATACTTTTTCTTGAATATTCACTAATATGTTTTTAAATGAAGTAATAATGTTTACGAGATGAATGTGTTATCCGTAAACTGCATTAATTATTTCAATTGCAACCATTAGAAATTACGATGAATGAGTACGATGTTTTTTATAAAACTGAAGAATTTATGTTTATTTTCGATCGTAAAAGCAAGTCGTAGCTTAGTGTAAAATTTTGGGAAAAAAAAAGGGCACACTGCGACTCAAAAATAGCTTACAAGGTATCTATTCTACGTTAAAACGTATCTTATGGATTTATGAAGATAGACCTATTAACAATGCGTTAGCTACATTATTTAATTATAAATTACGATGGAATCGAATCGAATATAGATACGATTGTGATTTTTGCACTTATAAAATCCGAAAAGACCCGAAAACTTGTACTTAAACTTATATATGACCGCCTATAACTGGGATTGAACCTGTAGCAGACATTTTTATCATTATTTACATATTTTTAAGATTAATTTTTACATCTATAAAGTTAAGTAAAATTGAAGTGTCTGTTTGTTATATTAAAATAACCGCTTTTTACTAAATGCATATATCAAGATGTCATATTCTACAATTTTTGTCTGTCTGTCTGTTTGTTCTTGCTGAACTCTAAAACGGCTGGATCGATTTTGACGCACGACTCACTGGCAGATAGATGATGTAATAAGGAGTAACTTAGGCTACTTTTATTTTAGAAAATATATTTCTTTTAAATTCCGCGCGGACGAAGTTGCGGGCACAACCAATATATAAATAAATCCAATTTTGTAAAACGTTTCGAATGTCGAATTATAAATATATTATATAAGATTTATTTTATCACTTTTTAGTCGAACATACCGCAATGTATTGCCACCTCTGCAGTGGACTGGTCCCATTCAGCGCACTGATGGTTTTGGAGAAGCCAAGTTTTGACTGTAACATCATGAGAGCTTTGTTTCGTTGCAGATGTTTCTGCGGCTGCTGTCTAATCCCGTGCTGTATAGACAGCTGTATGGACGTGCATCACAAATGCCCCAACTGTGGCGCCTACCTCGGCCGCTTCCGCCGATAAGCGTCAACCAACCCCGCCAAAAGGACACCCAACCCCTGCCCCCTTAGGCGCCCTAAAAATCCCTCCACCAAGCTATCGCATTTACTTAGACATTTCCCTATAATATCTAGACATTTGCCGTTTCTAGTTAGTTTATACCTCTGCGATGTCCTAGTCCCTCACACACTTAGGGCTACTTTAGATCGTTTAGCTTAGGATTTTGTCCAAAATTTCATTTCAAGGGTTGTCGCATACGTATCGTCTAACGGAACGTAACAATTTCTTATCTGTGCCGTTTGTTCGTTATTTTTTATAGTCATTTAAATTTTATGTCAGTCTGTGTTTATATTTACGAATAATGAGTTACTAGTATTAATGGTCGCTTCTGTTCTGAATGTATGTTATAATTATGTAAATATTTTAAGCATGTGTTAACATTAACGGTGCAAGCGTTTAGAGAGCTTTTTTGGGAGGGATGGGAGATCGCTCGCAGTTAACGTCGAAAGCGGGGGGTCAAGGAAGGCATTTTTTTAATGTTATTTTTAACTTAATATAATTTAGACTTAGGGTGTTAAGTCTGCTAATAACTGTGTCATTACACATAATAAGCTATTTAAAGGATTGATCTTTGTTAATTTTAGATCTGTCTGTGTCCTATTGACCGACACTATGAAGAGTCGGTCTCGCACACTTTCCGTCGAATTATATTAGTTTTAATCCCTCCATTTATGCGATTTAACGCACGGTGACTAGTTTCACGTTATTCCGCCAGTCTATATTTAGACGAATGATTTGCTAGCGTTACGAAAGCCCTTACATGAACTAATCAGAATAATTATTCTGTTAACTGCATCAATACTTGCGGAGATAATTTTGCGCCTTATACGAAGTTCACGCATGAAAAAGATTTGGAATAATAGATTAATTTACAACGTTACTTGTTGCCGCGTTTTGCCTAAATGGAGGTATTGTTTTGATATGATATATTTATCGAATGTCCACTTTAAATGTTTTTCTAAAGATCTTTTTACATAATTTCTATTTACTTATACATAATTATATAGCGCAAACGACTGCCCTGGCCACTTTCGGATGTGTTCATTTGGAAAAAAAAATATGTAAAAAAAAATCATATCTTTACTGATAATTTAAAGGAAAGTAGTTTTACGGTAAAGTGGAATTGAAGTGAAATCTCTGAAGTGCTTCACCAATTATCTTTAGATAATGCTTAAACTCTTAACTGTATTAATTAAATTTATTTTAATAACTTTAATGTATTTTTTTTATTACACACTTTTTATAATTAGGTTATTATTATACATTCTTATATTGTTATATTTTATAATCACAAATAGTTGAACGATCCGATGCTATTTATTTCCCCTTCCGCAGTTTTATTGATGCATAATATTAACAATAAAAATTCCTACGAGTTAGAGAACTATGAAGTGTCTTTCATTTTGTCCTATCATTCGTTTCATAATTTTTTGTTCGGTTATGTTTAAGTTCCAAAGTCACGAACAATTTTGTACTTTAGTTAGTTTGTTACAATTTGAGGTGAGAGAGACACAAATTACTTATGTTATAATAGACTAAAATTATCCAAAATTGTATGCAAGGTGGTCCTTGTGAACGGCGCTGTTGTAACACTAACGGCCGGTTTCAATTATTCTATCTACAGTTATTTTTGGTGGTTATTGGAGATAGAATTTTGACGTATTATGGAGCTAATGTCTAATACCTATTGTTGAAAACCAAATCTCTCCGTAGATATACTGTTGAAACCGGCCGTTACTTGAAAATTCGGGTCCGATTAATTCGTAAGGCATAGCGAATGTTCTAAGAATTTTAGAGCTTTATAAATACATTTAATAAATCACTAAAAAAAGGAGTTCATCAACTGTTGTATCATCATACAGTAACGCCATCTTTGCATATTCCATCCCTGGCCTAGAAGTCACTCGTAGCCTTGAAAACTATTCTAAAAAAAAGTATATCTCTATTAAAAACACGGCGATAATAATGCGTAGTTCTATAAATTCATCATTTACCAAAACTTCACTAAAGTAATACTACATCTAATGATAAAGAAGTATTGTGGCATTTTCTAATAATTCAACGCTGGCGTTTTTATTTTTTCTACATTCTGTATTCACTTTTTCATTAGTGAAATATGCACGTTATTCAGCTGGCGACATCAAGAGCTGTGCGAATTAAATACAAGCACGTGTACATCAGGACAAACTGTAAAACACGACTATATGTTATTCAATGTCGTATAAAATTTTGTTTTTTTTTAGCCAATAACAAGGTTATCAAAACTTTCACGCTACTTTCTAATTCTGAGAGTTGACAAGTACAAATTAACATTGATGTCTGTGTGATTGGCATTGTGGCTATGGGCAAAACAGATTCTAACGCTGTGTTTAAAACCGAAGATGATCCAAGAAAAAAGTAACGGGTATACAAGCGGTGATTAAAAAAAACAACGGTTAGTTAACAATGTTCTTTACTACTACATTGAAATGCATAAAGCTCCGAATTTACAATCTATAGGACCCATTCATCTGGACTAATATTCGCCGAGGAGTTTCGAATCAATACGTTGTAACGGTGCACCGGGAACTACCGAACCCACACCAATGTACAAAAACTAAATAATAAACAAACACACATACATTCGTATGGCAATATATCTATTCCACCCACATAATCATCAAATGCCTTCCCCATATTAAACATTCATATTTAACCTATGGAAGCAGTAGAAATCCATGCAACCGCTCCAATTATACAAGACGTTCATCTAACGCCTCCACCAGCGACAATGCAAATGCCCGTTAACGAAATACAACATTCAAGGTCTGTACAACAGCTGACGAGACTTTCGTATTTTAAAATATGTCAGTTTACAACATAATGACCAATAAAAGTTCAGTTTTTAATTTAACACCATTAGATATTTTTTAAAATACGATAAGACCTCACATCTATTCCAAGATGCAAAGCTTCTTAAGTTAACATGGAAGTGGAGACACTATTCTAAATTAAGAGTCAGGTATGTCACAAGTTTAATTCAATACAACATCAAGTTCTTTCAATTCACATTATGTTAATTTATTCAAAACAAATACATTAAATTGTTTAGTTAATTTTTTTAATGGAGATTATGAAGTTGCAAGATAAAATTACAATATTGTTCACAAAAGAAGCTTCTAATTTTTTTGTTAACACTCCTGTCCTATTGATAAGAAATGTTTGGTAATAAATAACATGGAGCCTATTAAAAGTTTAATGACACATGCTACTATACTTTTTTTTATTATCATACGTGTACATACCTTATTTAATATTTACCTATCATTAAAATAGTAACCATCTACGGAAGGCTGATATTTGGCTTAAATATATACCATAACTTCACTAAAGTAAATAAAATTATTCTAAAATATATTAAAATACTCAAGGAATTAGGATTCCTTCTTAGAACAATATTGTGATTACATTTTACCTTGCAACATACATATGAACATATTAACAATTAATTCTTTATATATATTTAACAGCAGTTAATATTAACATTGTAAAGAGCTATAAACGAGGCTGATATAAAAAAAAATTCTCTGTTTGTACATTAGTAGTAGTCCAGTAAACTGCTGCAACACTCAAGTAATTTGTTTTGACACAAATAACATCTTTGTAAACATCAGTTAGGAGACAGCAGAGTCCAAATCAGACAACTTTCTGCAGACCTAATCCTCCAATCAGACAATTTTGTTTATTCAAAACACCCATTTCTCTTGAAATTCAAAGCTAACTTCTTAATTGTCTCCATGTGGTCGTTGCTGAGATGTATGCATTTTGCATATATGATGGGTTCGCTGTTATGGTTGTATTTAGTGCGGGCCGCCAGCGCTTCTTCTGGGCTTTGAAGGGTGTGTCACTTTTCCTGGTCCAAGTCTTTCGGGGATCTCTTCTTGGGTGCAGATTTACTCTTTGGTGGCGCCTCACCGCCGCTGGGCAGTTCCGTGATGGTAACCTTTCCACTGGTTGTCTGGTCCAAAGGTGGCAGGTCCAACAAGTAAGGCATCATGCTTCTAGACTTTTCCTCTTCAGACAGCCACTCCATCTGATAGCAGGTATTAGTTTGTGAGATGTGAGATCAGGATATAAATACATAAGTAAAATGAACTTTCAAGTCCCTAAATAAGTAACATGTTTATTACTAAATTAGAGACTCGAAAATGGTTTTACAGCATAAAATAAGCAGCGTAATAATTTCTATATTGTTGATCGAAAGTATGAATAGATTGTAGAATTCATTGCAAAAGATTGTATGTAAAGGACATGGAAATTATTCATAAGTAATGTAATCAACGTATTGTCCGAGTCATCGAATCTTGTGCTGTAGTAATTGGCGAATTGTAACGCGTGCGTTATAGCAAGGAAAGGTTGTCAACGAAAGCTCTGATAGTTCAAAGGGGCGTGCGACCACGTTCTATGGGACAATGCAACACTACAGCCAATGGGAAGTGGATGTATTACAATTTGGGTTTCATGTGACGGGTGATATAATCGAGTCTGCAGTTTTTAAAGTTCGGCTACGCATCTGACAGTGTCAGGTATTACACATGTCTATGGTCGACGGTTATGTCTTAAAATCAGGTGGGTAGCATGGAACAAATGGATGAGTTGTGCAAGTAAAATGAAGGGTTTAGTCGTCAGCGACGACCTTGTGGTCAAGGGGCCAAGTAATGTCGATCGATAGGTGAGTTTTGGGTATGGGACGTGCCGAGTAGTCCTGACTCAGGACTCATATACTAAGGTATCCCCTGCCTATCGTAATAGAGGACACCGACTGGCAGCGGTACGAAGTGGTCTCGAGCTGTTGCAATTTGGTGAGGGAGAACGGGGAAGGTGTTTCCTTCACCGAGGCGTGCTCATGCGCAGCACCGAGGGACACCGATGCGTTCCACAGGAGATCCGGGCTCCCTCCAAACGTAACGTGGCCACGGTAACAGCACCGCTTCAGGATATCTATCTACACCAGAGCCCACGAGGGCGGCCGCCGGGTGGGTTTTGACGGGTACTACGCCGTGTGCGGGGAGTGGGGAAGTGGGGGGGGGGGGCGTGCGAGGGGACGCCCGCCGTTGAGGCCGCGCTGCGGCGCACCTTCTGGCGGTGGTCGGCCACCGCGTCGTCGCATATCTCGACGCACATCCGCTCGGTGAGGCGGCCGTCGTCCGATGCGTAGGCGGCCGCCTGCCACGCGACGCCCAGCTTGGAGAGCGCGCGGCCCGACATGCCGGCCGTGCGCGCCGCGAGCACGCCGCACAGCGCGCCGTAGTCGAACTGCTCGACGCTCAGCCGCCTGCCGGGCGGGGCCACCAAGTATAAAAAATAGTAGTCGGTGTGTCTGTCTGTGATATTCGAACAACCGATTCATATATTGTATAATACTGAATGCATATGGACGTGTAAACGGTAGATGTACCAAATTTTTTTACCATTTTTGTTTGTCCGTCTGTCTGTTTGATCCGCCTAATTTCTGAAACAGCTGGTGCAATTTTGATGTGACTTTTACTAGTATATAGCGGATGTAATAAGGAGTATCCTAGGCTACTTTTATTTGAGATATATTATTTATTTTATAATTCTATGCAGACGAAGTCGCAGGCACAGCTAGTATAATATATAACAACACATTGTCCATTATTGTGTACTAGCGACCCGCCCCGGCCTCGCATGGGTAATGTATTATGCATAAACCTTCCTCTTGAATCACTCTATATAATAAAAAAAACCGCATCACGATCCGTTGCGTATTTTAAAGATCTAAGCATACATAGGGACAGACAGACAGCGGGATGACTTTGTTTTATACTATTTAGTGATAAAAACATTAATATAAGGTGGTTTACCTGCCAATTCGTTACCAGTAATGTTTCACGCCCACCCTTGGTACTCAATTCAATGTTTCATATTCATCAATGTTTCCATAATTTCAATAAAATGTATTACATGTAAATATTGTTTTTGTTGGTCACAACTTACATATCTATTTTGGTGACCTAAACTTAAAGATTTTCGCACACAGACAAGCTCACTATTCTTTAACCTTAACAGAGTAGTGAGATTTTTAATGCAATCAACCAATATCACGTGTATCAATTCACAACATGGAGAAATTTTTAAAATCTGATTTCTGCACGCAAGAAATTCGCTAAACCCATAAGTGTCATTTGTGTTATAACTAACAAGACATTAACTGATTTTCAACACCAGTGAGTGTTGTCGAACATCACCACTTAACAAGTAAGAAACACTACTCATACCGTCTCTTACTCACCTTTTACCCTCGGAGGATGGTTGCAGGACAAACTTGTCGAAGTAGAGCCTTATTAGCCGCTCCCTCTCTTCTCTGCCGGGGAGGCCGAACTCTATCATTTTATCGAGACGGTCATTTATGGCGGAGTCGAACTGCTGCGGAGTGTTAGAAGCCAGCACCAGCATGATTCTGCTGCTCTGGTCCGAGGTTCTGTAGAGGAACGCGTTGAGGGCGGCCCTCAGGTCCTCGCTGATCCGCTCCGACGAGCGCTTCCTGAGGAACGCATCAGCCTCGTCGATGAAGAGGAGCACGCCTGAAAGGGAGATTTCCGTTACATTTCTGCCAGATAAAACCCAAAACTCGATTCAACGCCAGCCGGCCAATAACCAATACTGGTGACAAATAATGATATTGTATACGAATAAGAGGTAGATGTGGCACTAGCGATCCGAAACTGAGGCACTCAAGCAAATTGGTGTAATTACATTGCATAGTATACTGCCATCTCTTTCCGTATCATACGTTCTATATCTGTCACATTCACTTATAGAGGGTGATTTTTTTAGACGAAGTACATACCTACTTTGAAATAATGTGAATTGAGCAGAATTAAAAAAATATATATTAATATTTTATTTTGGCGAGAAATAACCAGACAAATATCAATTCAAACATTGTTTGTTTATCCCGTTAACATATTGATAAGCGTTTTAGTAATTATGTGTTCAGCAAAAAGTTTCAGTGCTCGTCAATAGGTTATTGCATTGAGATAGTCCGTCGTCTATAAAATCACCCTGTATATGTCATATAATCATGGTATCCCATTTACCTTTCCTGCTGGTGTTAGCCCAGTCGAACACCTTGTGGATGGCGGCGACAGCGTCCTTGCCCATCGGCGCCACATCACCACCAGTCAGTATTGCGTAGTCCATGCCGGAGTGTTTGGCCAGTTTCTGATATGGACAATACACTTTAATCACACACGTAGGTGCACGTAAAAGAAATAACGAGATATTGGTGCAACCATGGACAGTTGAAATTGGTTATCAATTCGCCAACTTTGGATGAAGCCGGGTTAAGGATGCTACATAATCCGCCATGTAAGTCCGTTGAGCCTTGGCTGATTCCTTATATTTCTGTCACTTTTGGCAGTTAGTGTTTTGTATGACATCATACACACACATGCATACATGCATTGTTTCACTCCCTCCCCCAGTATTCTGACCTATACCTGCAATCTTTCACACTGTATACTTTCTTCGCGAGTACTTTCTTCGTGTACCACTGGCAAATACCATCGCCACTGCCTCCTTAACCATGCCCGTGAGTTTTTCTTTTTTCCGCCACATACAACCAAGTCGTGGAATCAGTTGTCGAGAGCAGTATTTCAGGACCAATACGACTTAGGGGCCTTCAACTTGGACTTGGGGGGCCTATTCTGCGCATACCTAAAAGGCCTGCGCATGTGTGACTCCTCTTGCATTGCGAGTGTCTTTGGGCGGTGAACACTTACCACCGGGTGGTCGGCCTGCTCGTTTGACATCTTTTCCACAAAGAAAAAAAACACGACTTGTGTGATAGAACATAGCGCTAATCACCTTTGAGAACAATGTCTTGCCGGTACCGGGTGGTCCATACATGAGGAGGTTCCTGTAGAAGCCCTTGTTTAGACGGGTGTTCTTCGTCGCGATGGCGATGTCCCTCAGCCTCTTCTCCAGGTTGGGCGCAAGCACCACGCCAGCCAAAGCGTCCGAGGGCTTCCTGAAGCTGGCTATAGCCTTGGACACCGTCAGGATTGGGTGCTTCACTGCCTCCAGGATGGAGAAGCGCGACGTCTCATTCACTAGCGTAGGCTTTCCTGGGGCGGAAAATAAAAAGCAATGTCACGCAGGCTTAAATAGGAAGGTAATATGATTCACATTGCACTGGAGTTGCCAGTTTTTGTTACATTTTTCATTGTTGAGATGATTTATGTTTGCGGTTTGAGCCCATAAAGCTGCATCGAGCAAAGAGCTCCTGCAAAAGCTAAGTTTATACAAACTTTAAAGACCCTACCTAAGCGGAATCATGTATTTTGATCTAATAATGGCTTAAGTTTGCAAGTATATTTAATAATACCGAGGAAACAAATAGGTTATATGGTATAACTTATACCTGATGGTTTTTAACTTGGGTGTACTTAGGATAATATTAAAACAAAGTAAAATAGCAACATAATATTTATAAGAACAGGAAAATTGAATCATCCAATTGCAAGCATGAATTATGTTGCTAGGTACTGTCCCAAATCCTTATAATATTGTTTCTAAAAAAATTGTCACAAGTGTATAACAACAACTTATGAGCGACTTGCTGTGTTGGGATACTTGTACAAATAATTTTAGTCTGTTAACTCACTCCCACTCACCTATTCTCGCCTCAATAAATCTGGCTGTGACTGAAGTGGCACCCTTTGCAGTGTATACACCTAAAGCCAATAGCGACAGACCACCGGCAGCCGCTAGAGTCTTGTCCCAGTCTGTCACCAGTGCATTCAGACCAGTCCCAATGACCGAACCTGCGGTTCTGTTAAATGAAAATAACTATTGAGTTCCAGTTTCCAGTTCATTGAGAATAGTCTCACATATACAACAGTGACAATTTATCTCATGTGCTGTAGAGGCATTTTTATTTGTAACATTGAGTTTCATGCCGGTTTCTTCTCAACAGAAACTGCTTTCCGAACCGGTGGTAACTTACGAACGTGTTAATTTCTTGTAAAATTTTGACGTTTCATAAGAACGCGCAAGCGTCTATGTGAATAAAGATATTTTATTATAACAATCGTACATTCACGAATATCCAAGTCTGATGGTCTGGAATTCAACACACAAGCTGTATAATACTCACTTGATGCCCTCCAGAATTGTAGTCCTGTTCTCAATAGCCTTCAGTCGGATTTGTTCCAGTGTAATGTCTCTGTTCTCGCGGTCCGCCTTTGCCCTAGCCCTGGCTTCCGCCTCGATAGCTTTTAGTTTGTTCTTCTCGCGGAGTTCCATCTCGTGTTCTATAGTGGCTCTCCGTAAAGCCTCCTGTTTGGCCACACTTTCTTCTTGTCTGCGAAGGTACAGAGAAGAATGTGGAGTTTTACAGAGCTGTTATATTAAAAGGGGTGTATCAGTAACTCTGAGTGACAGATTATTAAATTATAAATTTTAAAGGAAATAAAATTATAAAAATTAAAGACAATGTTTTCAAAACAAATCCAGCGAAACTGAGATAGAAAAGTCAGTAAAGGATGTGCGTAGCAGGCATATTTGCATGTTGTGTTCAAGAAAAAAAATTAACACACTTTCTCAAAACTTCCTCCTGGGATCTCTGGTGCTGTAGCAACTGTTCCTCATATCTTTTTTTGGCCAATTGATCTTGATACTGTGCCCTCATCTGATGCTGCTTTGTCTCTTCCTGCATTCAAATGACATAATTCTTAGTTTTTGAGATTTTTAGGTTATTAAGCATATTGTTATACATAGAAATAGAAGAGGCCTAGTGAGTAAGAGGTATAGTGGTGCATAGTATAAATTAATATGGAATCTTCTTAATTTATTAAAGTATAATTTATTGAATTATCATATATAACGAAATTATTAAATGATTTCTTTCATAGAAATTTCATGTATTCACATGATTAATACATATAACATATTTATAAGAGTCAAGAATACTTAAATTCAATTGCTAGTATAATTATCATACTAATCAAATGTGAAATTCCTTATTTTCAATTTGATATTAAATATTGATAAAAACCCCACATTGATACTAAGTTCATTGACATCAAAATTATTTGAAGTAACAAACTAATAAATTATATTGCATAAATTAGGTTTAATTTTAATTGTTCGGTAAATGATGAGATGTAAATGAGCCTAAAACTTAATATACTCAAGCAACCTGATTTCGATTTCCGATGCTGGCAAATATTGAAATTGTTAATTTTAATGCTAACTAATCACATGCTCGGCGGTGATGGATAACATCATGAGGAAACCTGCATATTTGCGAAATAATAACAAAAAAAATATTTCAAAGATATGTTAAGTACACCAATCTGCAGTGGAGTCAGAGGAGGCCTATGCCCAGCAGTGGGCAATATATAGGCTGATACTTTGCTTTACTTTTACAGGAAAGCGTTTGAGTGAAACAGTTTATAATGCATACAATCCTTAGAAAGTGTAGTGTCTTTATCAATTACCTGTAGTGTTTTCCTTCTTTCTTCATGATCTATTTTTCTCTGCTCAATTTTAGACTGTTCAATAGCCGCCTCATACTCTTTAATTTTTGCCATCTGCTCCTGCTGTCTGGTCATCTCTTGCAACTTGCTGAGTTCCAATGCCTCTTTGGCATGCCCTGATTGATGCAAGTTAATTGTGATACATATGTAAATGGAGTCCACTGCACTGATGACTGAGTGACCAGCAAAAAACTCGAACAACAAAGTTCCAGCATGCCCAATTTAGTGCAACCAATTTGTGTTGGTTAATGTTATTTATGACTTGTACACATACACTGCAGGTCAAAAGTATAAAACCACTCATAAAAAAGTTATGTGAACTAGTAGAGATCATTTACAACAGACATAATAAAAAAAAATTTGGGCACCTGCAAATTTTAATATTGTTATGAAATGTCTAAAAGGTGTAAAAATGTCTATTTTGTTTCTATATTTCTAAGAACAGAGTCAACTCATCATTCATTTTTTGCTTATGTTTTGCACTAAACAATATTTATTTCTTTATGCTGAAAACATTTTTCTAAAGTAGGTATTATTTATTTATTACATAGTTGTTGAATTGCAATTTTCCTCAGTGGAAACTCATAAAATTAGGGGTGAAACATATTCTGTCATCCTAGTTTTATATAACTAAGGCAAATCAGAATATGTGATTGCCTCATAACTAAATTAAAACTTCCAGTGAGGATTGTTAACACCAGCAAGCAAAATAGACATAAAGCATCTAAATTCTGCACCAAAATGAATATATCCTGTACAAAACATGTATCATGGACTGCAGTAACAAGACGAAGATACTAAGTTTCTTAGTCTCGTTGTCCAAAAACCTGCAAAATTTTACAAAGCAAAACAAAAATCCAGTGCAAACCCCGTCAAGATTGGACCAATAACGATTTTAAGAACTTTCTGAGGATTTATTGAGGATTATTATATGAAAAAAAAAATTTAGAACCAAATACTATTATTTCCTCTTTATAAGTAATTAGGAATAAATTCATTTTCCAACAAGATAATGCACATAATTCTAAATTATACAGAGACTATTTAGAACAAAAAAGATAAATGGTATGATGAAAAACGGTAAATGTAAATAACTTTAACTCCGGCGTAATTCAAATCAAATAAATTTTAAACGATAGAGAAAAATCACTTATGAATTTATCAACAAGCAGAATTCGGCGGTCGCTTATAGTTTTCGAAAAAATAAATAATGAAATAGTGTGATTTTTACTATAGAAATCCGCCATTTTTTTGTTGTCAATATGTCAATTCAGCTCGTATTTCTTGGTGGTCATAAAAAAAAAACCTAACATCGAAGGTTAACCTTCACCTGAACCTTCTAACCTAATCTATCCGAGTCGGATTCGCTCTGTGTCGGTTCTGTGATTCATTAAATTAAAAAAATCGGAATATCGATACGTGTATGATGTCGCCCGCTTCCTATATTTATCCAATTCCAATTCCAATTTTAGGTTTATGGCTCCATCAACATATAACTTGATGATTCTGCCAATGTCAAGGTTGAATAAAACAAAGAGTTACTGATATAATTAGTCGGTAATATTGACTTTTAAAAAGTAGGTAGACAATTACACATATCCGGTTGAGTTACCTGAATGAGGACAAAACAATAAGTTAGTTTATATATAATTATTCAAATATGATAAATTAAAAAAGTAAGTAGTTAAGGACGATACTATAGGACAATATTTAAAAAAGAGATAAAGAAAAACAATATTAACCAAGGAAAAGAGTGGAGGAATAGGGGTTAGAGCTTGATGTTATTGCTACGAAGGAATTTGTATAAAACTTTGATAAAAGGGGATTCAGTAAGAGTTAAAAGGAATGGGATATTAACAGGCCTAGGAAAGTTGTGAGGGAGAATATCATAGAGAGGGGTTACAATGTTTGGGCAAGAAAAAAATAGGTGTTCTAATGTACCCTCAGCCAGGCCACACTGGCAAATTGAGTGGTCGCGTATATGGAGTTTAGCCAAAAAAACTGGGGAGCAAACATGTCCTAATCGAAGACGTATGATCATAGAGGTAATCATCCTATCTAATAATTTATATTTAAAGAACCAAGGTCTTGATGGAATAATTGGCTGAATATTACCATAATATTTACCTTTTATCAATTTAGAGCGTTGCCACAAATTATTCCAAGATTTCATTAGACATGGCTTAGCCAAGGAGCGTAGGTCACGGGCGGGGATACTTGAGTGACAAGTGTAACCTATCTGAACAGCTTGTTTAGCATAAGAGTCGGCGGCTTCGTTCCCCCAGATACCCAAGTGACCTGGGATCCATGCTAACACAATCTTGACACCGGCTTTTTCCAAACTACACAATATTTCTTTAGCTCTCAAGGTATATACTGAGTTAAATTTACTATGAAATGGGAGCTTCCTCAAGTCTTCCAAACAGCTACATGAGTCACTTAATATCAAAGATTTACTGAAGTGGGTTTGGTTAGCATCTATATATTTAATGGCTTCCAAAATAGCTATTGACTCGCCAGTGAAAACAGAGCATTCCATGGGACATTTAAAGCTTAAAACAACATTATATTTTGGAATGAAGACTGAGGCACCTACGTGGGAATTCTCTGATTTGGAAGCATCTGTGAATATCAGAACCCAGTCCTTCCATTCATTATTTATTATTGTTTTAAAATGGGTATTGGCATCTATTGAACTTTTATTTAACCCAAGGTTTAAAATGATTTTTGGTTGGAAAATAAGAGCATCATAGTTAGTTGTGTAAAGAGGGTGGTTTTCTAATTGGAGGATAGGAGATGACAGGTTTTTATATGCATTGAGGCTATTAACCAGCAATGGGGGAGTTTTGTTGGACCAATATGAGGAAGAATTGATGGAACGGGAAAGGAGATGTAACGTTTTTTAATACAGGATGAGAGGGATACTGAACAGCATTGGAGAAAAATCTGTCAGCTAGAAATTGTCTACGAAGAAATAAAGGAGGTTCAACACACTCAACTTGGAGGGCATTTATAGGGGAAGATTTCATAGCGCCTGCAATTATACGTAGACATTTGGACTGTATTTTATCTAGCTTTCTAAGAGCTAGCTTGCTACATGGCTCTAGTATGAAGCTACCATAGTCAAAATGACTACGTACAATTGCGTTATATAGTAATTTCTGGGAGAAAGGATGAGATCCCCAACGAACTCCGGATAAAGCTCTTAGTATGTTTATACTTTTTTCACACTTATTATGTACATACTGTAAGTGGTATGTACCAGACATCTTTGAGTCTAGAATGACCCCTAAAAATTTGATTCGATCTTGAAACAAGATACGCTCACCCTCCACCAAGAGACTTAACGAGGGGATATGACGTTTTCGAGTAAAAGTAACAGCGTGACATTTCGGAATGGATAAATTTAGACTGTGATCTGAAAGCCAAATATTTAAGTAGTGTAAAGCAGTGTTTAATTGTGAGCATCCTTCTGGAAGAGAGGAGCAAGTGGTGTAGAGGGCAATGTCATCCGCATATTGGAGAATTTTACAGAAGGAGTTAACGGTCGTGTCAAGGTCGGAAGTATACAGATTATATAATAGGGGACTTAGAACAGAACCCTGGGGAAGGCCTCTCCAGACAAGACGTGGGGGAAGGATAGAGCCAGAAGAGCGAAGACATATAGAGCGACATGAGAATAAATTAAAGATTATATTAACCAGTCTCACAGGGATACTCAGTTTAAGCATTTTCTGCCTGAGTATTGGAAGCTGGACATTATCATAGGCCGAGGAGATGTCAAGGAAGACTGCAATGACATGTTTATTGCGAGAGAAAGCAAGCCTAATTTCAGATGTAAATACGCTAAGACTGTCCATTGTGCTCATGCCACGCCTAAATCCGTATTGGCTACTTGACAGTAGACCTCTGTTTTCGAGAATCCACTCAAGTCTATTTTTTATAAGGTGTTCTAAGATTTTAGCCAATACAGAGGGTAAGACAATGGGTCGATAGGATGTAGGGTTATTAGGATCCTTATTGGGTTTTAAAATTGGAATAACTATGTGGGTCTTCCACGGATTTGGGACTGACCCAGAAGAAAAGATTTCATTAATAATATTGAGAAAAAATAATTTTGAAGAGCATGAAGATTTAAGTATAAAAGAATAAGGAATACCGTCTACGCCTGGAGAGGAATCTTTGAGGTTGTCAAGAGCACAACAAAGCTCAGAATAGGAGAAAAGGTCATTCATTCTATCAGGTACAGAAGAAGGGATATAGGGAATGGGTAAACAGTCATAATAAGGAACAAAAGGAGGGGCTAGTATGTTTACAAAATTATCTAACCAAGTAGAAGGATCATTGGAAGAGGTATTACGATCAATGAAAGTTCCCCGAAAATTGGTAATTTTTTGCCACACAATAGAAATGGAAGTACAGGGAGACAAGGACTCACAGAACCTACGCCAACCTTCAGATTTCTTTTTGGCTAAAAACCTTTTAGTTTTAGCACAGGTTTTCTTAAAGTCAAGGTAGTTCTCCATGTTTAGATTGCAGGCATATTTTTTCTCAGGATTGTTCCTAGCTCTAATAGAAGCGGTACACTCAGAATCCCACCAAGGAGGAGAGGGGATGCACCCACCGAATGAATTTTTTAACGGTATAGACTCTTCAGCTGCTGAAATCATACATGAGACAAATTCATTATATAAAGCCAAAAAATTAGATGAGTTGAGAGGAGGGAGATGGAGTATTTTAGAATCTAAATTAATAGAAAATTTATTCCAGTCAGCATCAGATAATCTAAATCGTTGTAAAGGGGGCATAGTAGGAAGAGAGGGAGAATTTTGAAGAGATTGGATTAAGATGGGGAAATGATCACTGCCGTAAGAATTAGGTAAAATAGACCAAGAAAGAGAATTAACTAGGGAAGGGGAAGAAAGGGTTAAATCAGGGGCATTGGAGTTCTGCCCAGGTGGGGTTCTTCGTGTTGCAGATCCATTATTTAAAATACAGAGATTATTATCATCTAATAAATCTAATAGGAAGGAAGAAGCAGTGTCTACATGATGGGACCCCCACATATGATGGTGGCAATTGAAGTCTCCAGAAACAAGAAGAGGGCCAGGGATAGTGGAAAGAATACTACTTAATTCAGTAATGACAATGCTATTAGGGTGAGGGATATAACAAGAAATGTAAGAAATATTTTGAGATTTAATTGCGACTATGTGAAGATCAGGACTGTGGTTAGGAATATGGATTTGTGAGAAGGTGATGGATCTTGAAACTATAAGGGCACAACCTGCCTTGCCATCATCCCTGTCATCTCGGAGGCACGAATAACCTGGAAGCCTAAAGATGGATCTTGGTCTCAACCAAGTCTCCGAGATAGCAAGGACAATGGGTTTAAAACGGTTAATTAATGAAATAAGATCGTGTTTTTTGTGGCGAATGCTTCTACAATTTCCACTGAAGAATTGTCGCCATTTTTGGTAATTAAGCGTTCGAGCAGTTGTTGAAGTAGGGTAATGACATTGTTCGGTAAGGCATCTGAAAATTTGGATATAATGTTTATTAGGGAGCAGGTAAGAAGTTCAATGAGGTTGTCATTGGGGGTAAGCATTGGGGTGGACTCTATGAAGGGAGAGGATAAAGCACAACCATTAGGTTGTGATGACTGAGGAGAGCTTATTATATTTTGGTGGGCTGAGACATCATAGGTCTTGCCCAGAGAAGTTACGGGGCATGGAGATTTAGACAGGGTTTTGGAGTAAGAGGTCTGGGAGTTGGATTGTGGAGAAGAAAGTAGGGGATAGGTAGTTTGCCGAGATAATTGAAATGACTGAGATTGTTGGGATTTTTGAAGCGGATAATGATGTTGAGGGGAAGAGCTGGCCATGTCAGCATAGGGACGTCTGGAAGGGGGAAACCTGAGAGCGGCTTCTGAATAACTTATATTGTCCTGAGACATCACAATTTTAATGGACTTTTGTCTAGAATGCTCAGGACATTTGGAATCAGTTGCCCTATGATTTCCATTGCACAATATGCAAGAGGAATTGATTTCACTGATAGTACAGTTATCTCCAGTGTGACTCTGCCCACAGCGATAGCATCTTGGTTTAGACCTGCACTGGGACCCAATGTGTCCAAATCTACAACAGTTTCTGCATTGAATAGTAGGTAGTTGATATGTGGAGACTGGAAGGGATGATTGATAGCAGTATACTCTTTCAGGAAGAGTTTGGCCCAAAAATGTAAGGACTACAGTGGTGGAAGGAACCCAGGTAATTTTATCATCTGTTCTTAGTTTTGTATTAAGTCGGCGAGCCCTAATAACTTCTCCGCAATTGGAGGGAGTCTTAATGTTCTCTAACAATTCTTCAAGTGTCCAGTCAGTAGGAATACTTTTGACCACTCCCATGCGAGTAATATGGAATCTTGGAATAACAGCATTAAAATTATTTGTAGGTAGAAAATCATTAGACAGGAATTTATTAGCCTCTGAGTAAGATTTAAATTCAATTGAAAACTTGTTTCTCCCTAGTGTATTTATGCCTCCTTCTGCTATACCCGGCACTTTGTTTTTGTGTATAAGTTGTGCAAATTTAAGTAGCCTGATTGGCAGGCCAGATGACAAGTCAGGTTCAGATTTGGTGACGTGTACAATGAATGGAGATTTGTCATAGTCGCTGTAACCTAGTTTGGAGTCACTTTCGTAACCTTTTTTGGAGTATATTGATTGATAAGAGGTCGAGGGTGGAACCACTTTTTTTTGTCGGAAGTTTCTATATTTTCTGCCGGTCGCTTACGGTTAGTATTAATATTTGGGTGCGTTGTGACGATGGAGTCACTAGTATCCATTTTATTATCGGGAGGGCGACCTCCATCCCCCATCCGGTGGTTTGTCTTCGCCCAATTCCCTCATGGGGAATTGGGGTGGAACGTAAACTTAAAAACACTTACCAATACCACAGAAACCACCACCAAACACTCACAAAACAAACAATTTTAGGTATTTGACTCAAAGGGATAAAGGTTTAAATCGAAAATCACTCAACAACGTGTTTACATCAACACATTGACAAGCAGAATCCCTATATTTATCATGTTGGCAGAACTGTGTAAAGAACTTTTGAAGTCAAACGAATAAAATGGTGGATTTCTTAGTACAAAAAACAAGATTTAAATATTTTTTTTCTCGAAAACTATAAGCGACCGCCGAATTCTGCTTGTTGATTAATTCATTAGAGATTTATCTCTATCGTTTAAAATTTATTTGATTTGAATTACGCCGGAGTTAAAGTTATTTACATTTACGTGAAAAACATTATATTACGGACACCTAAGATCCAGATCTTAACTTGATTTACATTTAAGGGGAACAGAAAGCCCTTCACAAAAAGACATGTGGAGGCCTATACAGAAGAGTTGGAACATTTACATTACTCAAGTAATAATCAATACATTGATTGCATGTATGCTGCAGACAGGGAAAGAAGAATAAAAATTAGGGAGGGTTTTTTTATCAAGTGGTTGTTTAGATTATTATTAGTGGGTGTTTATATTCATTGCCTGTATAGTTTATGACTGTATTAAAATTTTGTTTTATCTGTACTCATATCTTATTTTTACTTTAAAATTGTGAGGTTTATTTAGTTTTCCTTCTTTAATTTAGGTGGTCTCAAACATTCGGCATTCATTGTGTATCATAAGACATAGTTATGTGTAAAGGTCTTTATTTTGGAATTATAATTGTTAACTGGATCATTTTTTTGTATATTTTTTACTATAAATTTAATTATGGGTAAAAAGTTGGCAATTAGTTTCAAATAAACAATTGGTAAATAGAGATTTCATGATTATTCTGTGAATGACCTTTTAACTTTGAACACACATGTATGATTGCAGTTGCATGGACCATCTTTAAGATTAGAAAAGAAAATACAGAACTATTTCTATGTCATACTGGCTCTCATGAAGCCATGATGCATAAGCAGGCTCAATGAGACAACATAGTTAGATGCAACCGTAGTAATTGAGAACATTTCATATTAAACTTAATTAACCTTCCTTGATAAATTCATTATTTATTTATACCTATCACTGTAGGCTATTAACAATATAATATTTGCATGTAATTGATGCTTATTGGGAGCATGTCAAAAATATTAAGTCTTTATTATAGTAATATAAGTAAATTACTATGAGAAGTAAATCAGCGTTAATGTGTCTTTTGGACTGTTGTAAACTTTATTTAAAATTCCTATGGAGCAGTTTTAGTAAAATAGAAGACCCAGTTATATTGAGAATAAAATAAATTATTAGATACAGCAAATTCTTTGAATTCTGGATATCATTCTTTCAGGCATTTCTTATTTTTCCATTTGATTTATCTATGGAACATGCTCTCACTTAAATATTTTTTTCTTATCAGTAGAAATGTATTTATATTAAGAATAAGGAAACAGTTTTATTTTGGATTAAAGTAAAGTTATCGATGTCACGATGCGCGCTTTAGGTTATACGGCCGTATTATGCAATACCACGAAATGTGCGCGATAAAGAGTGAAAACCGAAACTTACTGGATCTTTCCAGTTCTTTAGCGGCCTGAGCGGCCCGTTCAAGAGCACTGGAGTCAAATCTGTAGGCTTCCATAGCCCTTTTCTCTGCTTTAGTCAGGTTCACTGGGGGTGCCGATGAGCCGGGGTCACTCCCGTCGGCGGGCGGTTGCTCCGGTGGAGGCATCTGTGGCCGGCTATACCCAAATAACCACGACATTTTTATATGCTAATATTGTAACTCATAAAAATGAGTACTAAATATAATAAAGTGAAGACTTTATGAATAGAACAAAATCAATCATAGATTGAAGAGTATGACTGGACTGACTGAACCGCACAATTGATCAGTGCTACCAACTCTCGAACATATTTTTTCCGAACACTTAAGTCAAAAATTTCCTAAAACATAAAAAAATAATTTTATTAAAAAAAATTGCTTTAATTTCCAAATGAACGAACGGTATAAATAAATACAGTGGAGGAAATTGCAGCAAAAATGTTGTTCTTACAAGTTTTTAAAAAAACAAGTTGTGGAAATTATATATATTATAATATATATAATTTCAATTATTTTTATAATAATTATATAGATTTTTTTAGACGATCAATATTTTTACCGGAATTCTAGAAATAAGATTCATAATGAATGATAAAAAATTGCAAGTACTTTTGAACTGTCTCCATTGAATGCTTTTTAACGGTAAGTGTTTAATACACAAAGACGGTTCTCCTTATGTGTTTTCTTTCCATAGTTCGACTTTGCAATCTTAGGAATGAGAAACCATACTAGACGTTGCTAAGCGGCTAGGGCAACATAAAAATATGATTGGATAGATAGAAGTTTGTTTATTTTAATCAGAAAAACAAGTTAGCAAATAAAAAGTATGACAAAATATAAGAAATCAAATATCCCTAAAAACATAACGCCCTAAAAATCCCAACGCATTTGTTTACCCCCTAAATTTCGGGGAGAAACCCCTAAGTTGGCAACCCTACATTTGATTGATGCAGGTGAGTGAGCAGGGTACAAATTTTACCACAGATTGTAATACTGCTTTCTATATAGATAATAAATACTAGTTACTAAGTTATATTATGAAAATATGTTTACAGATATTTAGAAAAAAAAATATATTTAAAAAAAATTGTATGAAAGTAATAAAAGTTACAATACGCTACAAGTAGCAAGTAGGCCACTATTACGCCGGGCCCAGATACGCATGCTAAAATTCGCAAAGATATTCAAATGCTATGATTTTTTTTCTTTTATTTTTGTTTTTTATAAACATTGCCTTTACCTTAGGATAACATTATCGTGTGTTGTAAGGACGTTTTACAAACATAAATTTCAGGCGCACAAACACCAGATGCGAAACAACTATCTGTGGGTCATACAAACAGTTGTCCCGTGTGGGAATCGAACCCACGACCCCCGACCCCTTGAAAACTACGCCACGGAGTCATCATATGTGTGGGGGGATATTTATAAATATTAGGACTTTTATGATTGTTGCCGTTTTGTTTTAAATAAGTTTTTTTCACACTTTTTTATTTCTGTTATTCAAAGTATCCCAAAACCCATGCAATAGTATCGTCTTTGCCGACGCAGTGGTAGTTTATTGATGCTTCTTGTAAAAATCAGTTGGACGGAAGGTAACAAATTCTTCAAAGGCATTTTGTAGTGCCTCTCGGAAATTGATTTTTTTTCTCGCTAAAAAGTTGTCCAAATTTTGGAAAAGGTTTAGTCTATAGGTGCAAGGTCTGGTGAGTGTGACGGATGAGGGAGAGCTTCCAATCCCAACTCTTACAGTTTGGAGACTGTCTGTTGTGCAGTATGGGGTCGTGATGGAGCAGCGGGAACAACCGATTGACCAAAGGTGGTTGCAGATGTGCGAGCTTCTCCATCATTGTTTTCAGTTCTTCACAATACACATCCAGTGTAATGCTCATGTCTTGTCTCAGTAACTCGCATTGTAAAAAGCTGTGATGAATCACACCGGCACTAGACCACGAAACAGTGACCATCACCTTTCTAGTGGTCATTTTTCGTTTAGGGCATTGCGTTGGTGCTGAACCAGGATCTATCCAACTTGCTGAGCGCTTTCGATTGTCGTACGGAATTCAGTGGCAGTTATCTCTTAACATCATACATAACACAGATGAATCGCGGGCTGGCATGTCACCTTCTCACATAAAAAAATAATGGTAATAACTGGTGTGGCTTGCATCAGTCCGATATCGAACGAAAGCACAGGTGACTGAGTTTTTCTCCCGCAATACCTGCCCGAGGTTCTCTGCCAGTTCGAAGAGGCAATCACTCGCTACCACGATCCGATTGAAATCTTCAATCTCCACCGACTACTTGGATGTGGGACGTGAAATCGGAAATAGCCGTGACGGCGGTCTCAAGTCAACTCTATCCTATAACCTATCGGGGATTTTATCTAAGTGCGGAGAGCTCGAAGCTAAAAACCAATTTTAAGCGCCAATCAATTAAATCATCGATCACTAACACATTGTTAACCAACCATAAATCTCTAATACAATTGATTATCTACAAGCTGTGTTTTCTCTAGCATATGATTTCTGCTCATTTGTGAGGCGTTAAAATTATTTCAATTATCAATAGACTATGATTTTCGTTCATTGGCGACTTACTGTGAACTTTTTGTATCAATTGATTTGAATAAGGTTAAATGCTAAATACCCAGGAAATTCACCGTAGACCTATCCATAGTCGCCAACATAGCACTTTGGGTTTGCAAGTTTGAAGTGGCAATGATAAGGCCACATCGCACGAAGAACTGATGACCGATGAGGACAACAGCTGGAGACCACGAACAGGAAGATGTAGTGTTGGATGGCCTCCCATTAGGTGAACCCATGAAATCGTACGATCGCGTACAACCGGTGGACGCAAATAGCAGTGTCCTTCATTGTTGCGTTCTCACCAAGAACTTCGTTCAATAATGAACGTCTTCCGGCTGATGATGAAGTTGATTATCCACAATAATAGCTGTTTAGAATTGCGGAGACGTTGTGATAAAAAAAAAAAACCGCATTAACGCATTAACCCTGCAATGAGATATTTTTTTCACGCGTGCGGTCTTCGCTGTTGCTCGAATGGACAGGTCCTTTAGTAAGTACCATGACCTTATAGAAGACAAGCGTGAAGCCGAAGTTTAAAACTTTCGCGTTTCGTCTGTTCAGTTAGATAACCGGGGTCCGACATTTTTGTCAACACATCAGCAGGTCATCGGGGTGCTGTAGATGGGCATGATAGGTCCACGCAACAGTGTTCACTGTTGCACGAATGGGCAGGTCCGTCCGGATAAGTACGACTTCACAGAAGCGGAAAGTACAAGTATTACGCTTCTGCGTTTCGCGTTTTGAATGAGGAAACCGGAGCCCACTTTATTTAAAGGTGGGCTCCACGGATAGGTCCACGCATTTGCAACTCTACGGGTGTTGCAGTTGTCTATGGGCAGCGATTATCACTTAACATCGGGTGAACCGGCAGATCGTTTGCCACTTTTTCGCATAAAAAATAAATAAATCATTCTACTAAAAATGATATACTACAGCTAGAGGCATAATTAATATAAAAAAAACACGAGGAAGTTATAAAAACCTGTTTTAGATGTTCATTCTTTTATTAATAACCTTAAGTGTTAATAAATACCTTTTATAAACCTAATATTACTTTTATAAATAATTTATGCAAGATATATTACGAAAGCTTTGACTTTATTAAAAAAAAGTTTACCTATACGTTCTACTAGAGCAGTGCGTGGTATAAATGCACTTGCAATTGAAAATTCTATGTAATATCAAGAGTTGTTCGATAGCAATAAATTTAAGATTATTAATTTAATTACAGTAGCGAACAACGAAATTGAAACTGTTTTGAATTAATCAGGGATTCAAAAATAAGTAAAATTTCGTCTAAATCTAGAGTTCTAAAATATAACTTCGTTATTACGGACGTTGCTATAAAAATGTATGTTAATATAAATTTAACTAGATGCTACGATGTGTTTCCTATCCTTTACGTGACCTTAAGTAACCAGCCACGTAACTATATTTCTGTCATCAAGCTGTATCAAAACACGTAGGCGGGTAATATACTACATTGTTTTCCCATGTCGTATTTTAACCTTGCTGTAATAGGATATAGGAAGACAAATTAACCTCCACAGTTCGATGAAAAAAATATATCGTCACAGTCTGTAGTACGTGGTTATAATGTTACCCGAATCTTGTATATTAATGAATTTATTTTATATATATTATATTATTACATATATTATATTGTAGATTATATTAATGTGTATTATAGCTAACTGCCCTTTGGGGACGTCCATTAATCAGGTGATGTTTTTTTAGTATTTAACCCCCCCTTCTTCCCTACTTGGTGATGTTTAAGACTCAAGTTTAAGGGTCAAGTTCAAAAATAAATCATAGTTAATGAAAGATCACATGAGGTGTGTACTAACATTTATTATTTACATTATACGAAAATTGTCGTACAATACAATTTTTTATGGTTTTAAAATTAACTCCATATTGATTTTGGGACTGCTACGAAGTTTATTTATAAAACTTTTGGTCATTTGTGTGGCATATGTTCCGTTAATTAGTAACGCATTTAAAGCTTATTAAATTATTAACAGGCATCAGCCTGATTATTCTTCGCTCAACATTTTATGGAAGTGTAATCTAAGCTACATTTGACGACCATTTATAAATAATTAGCGGGCTTTGTGTATCTGTATTGCTAAAACGATTAAGAAACAATTTCAGTAGCATTTCCGTCAGGTTAAGTTTCTTTAAAGTTACTGTTCACAGCCATCTATTCATTCATCAGGCTTTTGGGTTGTTACATTTTTTCTTATCTTACATCTATACACCGTTTAAAGCCGAATATTTTTAAGCCATTTCTTGTTGAAATGTTTTTTAATAACAATAAATCGACGTCGTCAAATACAACAAGCCATTGAAAGTTAACAATTGGATAATGTATGATAAAGATCGTTCTTATATATTAACATCTCCGATCCAAAATTAACTAAAACACTTCTTAGTTAACATACTTTTATTATGTGCAATAAAATAAAAATAAGCTTTAACAGTTAAACATCTGCTGTGATAATATATCTGCTACAAGTTTATTTCTTATGCATAACTTTTTATTTTTATATAGAGTACGTGCGGGACATGTTTTTAAAAACTAACGCATTTGCGTGTGCAATTTTCGCAATACGTTTAATAAAATTGTTAAAAGTTAACATAGGTATTGAGAAAATATTTTGATAATTTTCGTGAGACCAGGATCGAAATGTTGGAATACTCTCGGTTGAAACTCTCCGTAGGAGTGTGGCGTATTTATCGTAACAGGTTATTGTAAAAGGTATCTTGAGATAACAGACTGTACCTGTTACGAAAAAACCTAATAACAGTTCTTAACCTTAACACGTTTTTCTTTATACATGCTTACGACTGTTACCTTAGTTAGAAAGATATAAAAATTGTTACACCTTGTCACAGTTGCCCCTAAACATTGTCACTGTTACAAGCTCTTTCTTTTTCTTGCATCCGTCTTATAGCTTTGTTGGAAAGAGAAGTACGGACATTGCCATAGAGTATTACAACATAAAATAACAGGCAGTTATTTTGTAACAGGTTTTGTCATCGTTACTTTTAAGTAATAGGAACAGGCGTAACAGGTACTCGATTTAACCTACAGTCTGTTAAATTTACGGCCGGTTTCTGAAACACTGATCAATTCAGAGAGTTTAACCGTCCTATTGGCAACTAAAATGAAATTTAAAAAGCCATTTGACGGCTGATTAGTTGACATCTACGATGATCAGTGTTTCAGAAACCGGGCGTTATGTTGATACGCGGGACATTGACATACAAAAATGGATCTCGTATATGAAGTTCCGTATTTTCTAAAAGAAAACTGTACGTAACACAAATGCGGTACTTTATTTCGTAATGACACTTTAGTTTATTAATGTCAATGTCCCGCGTATCATCGTATATTTAACAAACTGTTATATAGCTCACTCCTACCTTTCCCAAGTAGACTCGTCTGGGTATCGGTGTTGATGTTTAAAAAACGTTGACAACGTACAACATGAGCATATTAAGTATGTATAACATATTAAGGCTACGTCAAAATAGCGAGTGAAGTCCTTCTCATTTACTTGTATAGGTTACAAAAACGCGATAGGGTAAGATAAATCTACAGGAAACGTGAATGTTTTTCGTCAAACATGTTTTTTCATTGTTTTTTTTTTTAATTTTACGCCGAGCTGTATGGTAAAAAGCTAAAACATTGGTATGGCTACTGACACAACAGCCAGACATTCGCGAATTGTCGACAATAAATTTAAGGTTGACTTTAAATTAGATCAGAGGCACAATAAAGTAGGCGTTCGCCTCCAGTATTGCAAACACCAAAAAACAGAAGTTTAAAGCTTTTTTCAGTTTTAATAAAAAGAAAATCACTCAAAGAAATGCGTTAATTAAAAAAAAAAATAAAAGCCTACTCAATTACATATCGCATAAAGTATTGTTATAAAATACAATTTTATTAACTTAACTGAATTAGTGACATATTAACCGCGTAACCTTGAGGATACTAGTTTTTAGAATGAGCCAGTGATTGTTGATTCATTGTCACCGAATCAAACTGTGCTAGGTTTTTCAAAAGCTATAATTAAACCATTTTATGGTTTTATCGTAACTAGTTTTATCCTTTACAAAAACGATTGAATTAATTATGCCCCGATTAGAACTAGACGTCGACGGCAAAAATTCGACAAAAATAACACGAGCCTTAACGACCAACGCACTTAAATCGGTCCGTATAAAAAGCGATATAATGTCAATTTTTTTTTTCAATTTGCCAATCTTGTCCCATCAAAATAGCAAACAAGGCTCTTAACTGCGTGTCTACGTCGACACGTCTCGCCGTCAATCGCAATATACATGTCAAAATGTTGTAACATAAAAATAGTCTTACATATTGTACAAATCACATTAAAGCTTAGTTACTCCTAAGACCAGAGCAACACGAGCCCTGCACAGGCGTTTCGTCGTCAACCACAAGCACCCTAGAGGTACGGGACACATCTGTTTGGGAGTTTTGGTCGAACCTCTCCACCATCTCTCTGGTTAGGTCGAGGAATAACTCCTCCACACCTTGGTTTAGCTTGGCCGACGTGTAATAGTGCTTAGCACCCACCATCGCTGAATAGCTGTAATAATTTAAATTCTTTTTTCTATTCAGTAATTTATATTAAGTCTATATTATATATATACATAATCTTCCTGGCATAATAAAAATTATTTACTTTAGCCGGTGAGATGGTAAGATAAATGTAATAATTATATTCTATTATTGAATGATATTCACATAAAGCACTTTTTCAACGACACTGTAAAAGTTTCAGTTATGGGAATTTGTGCATTGAGAAGTAAATGGTATTCGCCGGTAAGCAGTGTTTTATAGACACAATTAGTTTATCTTATTAAATTAATATTGGAGTAGAGTCACATATATATATATATATATAGAAACAATAAAAATGGCATACCTTTCAGCCTCTTCCAGAGGCACTGTTCTTTCATGTTCCAAATCAATTTTATTGCCAGCTATTATAAGAACAATATCAGAGCCAAGCATTTTCTTTAATTCTTTAACCCAGTTCTTTACCTAAAATGGGATGTTCGATTAATACATATACATAATTTACTAACATATACTAGCGACAATCCAGATAGGTCACCTAATGGAAAATAAGTACTTATATCTGCTAAATTCTGTAAGACGTCAAAATAGAACATATGCGAAAATTTATGCTAGCATTGCTATTTTAATCCCTACAATTCGTATTGACATCCACTGATCTCTTCTTGAGAAAAGAAATTCAAACAGGCAATCAGCAATTCTAAACACGGTCATGCTTAATTAAATAAAACATAAATATTACTTTTGACTTCATGTTCATCAAAATTTTTATAGTGCTAATCTCTGCACTTGAAATTAAACATTAAAATTTTGTAGAAAAACGTACGAAAAATTTGTAGTAAAACGATATTAGAAATATCGTTGTATTCGATAAGGTATACAGCGTGTCGTTACCATCGCGACAATAAATGAACACACGTCTAACGCTACTTGCCAATAATCATAAAAAAATATTAATGTTAAAAAAATCCATAATTAAAAAAAAATATTTTTCAAACAAACTAATTAAGTAAAAAAGAAACAAAATTTATAACACAACTCGCGCCACAGCGTCGCATTACAAGCCCCTTCTTCTAATAGTATGTTTTGTCTCTTTTAAATTCATTGAACCCATTCATATGCTTTGTGACCTCTACAAATGAACTTTACGTTATAGTTTTATATGTAAGGGTGTTCTAAAATTCTTTGTTTTGGAAAATTTAATGAAAATGAATGTAGTTAAAAGGCATTAAGTGGTGTGGCAATCAGCCGTTTGGCTTAGTGGCTAGAGCGTCAGGCCGCGAATGCCGAGGATGTGAGTTCGATTACCACAGTGGTGACAATCTTTTCGTACTTTTTCTACAAATTTAATTTTCAATCTTAAGTGCAGACATTAGCACTATAAAAAAAATTAAATTTATAACAAATATGTACATGAAAATTATAAGATTACGATTTACTTACTTTGCCAAATGAGTCTTCATCTGTGATGTCATACACTAGAATGGCACCATTAGAGTTGCGATAGTATATGGGCCCAAGAGCATGAAACTTCTCTTGCCCTGCAGTGTCCCAAATTGATAGGTTGATCCTCTTACCATTTATGTTCAACTTTTTATTAAGGAATGTGGCCTTGAAAAATAGAACAAATAATTTATTAAATAAAATAAAATAAGATACTACAAATTTATAAACTTTAACAGCTTAAGATGGTAGGATAATACTGCATAAAGTACACTATGATGTAAGTGCATGTATAAATTCTATTAATAGGCAGTTCAACACAAACAAGATACACCCGCCTGTGTTATTGCTACTCAAAAATTCAACTAACAATTTGTTGAAGAATTGTTGTCTGCAATAGTTAGAAATGATTAAAAACATTAAATAAAATAAATACAAGTAAACAAAGTGTTTTTATTATTTAATATATAGTTTTGTACTATAATAAGGTAACAAAGTCAAGTAAAGAATATCATGTAACTGTGGAATATACACTTGACCTTATTGGGAAGCCATTTAATACAACTTTGAAAGATAATTCCATAATTATAAACGTTAATCTGATTATAAATATGTGAATACAAGGTATTCCAGGTATATTTTAATATGATGGAAATATTTTTAGGAAATTTAATAAAATGTTTTATTTATATCCTCATAAGGCCCACTACGAACTAATATAATGACAAAAATATTTAGAGATTCCGGCACAAGACAGTTTTTAAAATCATTAAATTAAGGCCCAGCATCCTAAAATTAGGATGATATTTAAACATGTTTTCCTATTTAAATTATACCAACAAGTTAAATCTGCCATGAAAAAGTTATCAACCTTGAATGCATCTCTGATTTTGACAACTTAACCAAAAAAAATTTGTTTCTATGTTTCATCTTGTCTGAATAGAGGCTTCTTGAAGATGTAAATCTTCACATATATTTATTTCTAAACATTTTGTGTTCATGAATTTTACCGCCAACAGTAGAGATGTTATGTTTTGTTCACACACAACTTTTTTAAGGTAATGTAATTTTAATGCAGATAGGTAGGTCGGTTCCGTGTCATAATTTTAGGTCATTAATTAATTTTTCTTTGTTAAAGCCATGAATGACAAATCTATAGAAAATAAGTTTAATCTGGACCTATCACCTTTTTTCAGTACATTGGGCCATATTTTATATCAACCTTTATTTAAGTTGGGCCTTACGGTGATAAAGAAAGCTTGCTTTCAATCTGGTTGTTAAATGCTTATTGCTAGTTGCTGTTAGTCATGGACATCCAAAGCAACTAGAATGTTGCAGGTGCTTTGATGTTAGATAATACTTTTGATATGCTCCCTAAATTCCGTCATCCTATTAAATCACACCTGCCACCTGGTGAGGTAAAAGTAAAATAGTATTCTTTTTACAACTTTTGCGCATCTCCTATATATATTATAAATACAAATAGAACAATGTAAAAGAAAAGTATGATTATTTATGGTATTATTAGTAAATAATAGATATGTCTACTGAAACACATCTTGATCAGTAATTGTTAATTCGGTTATCACCACGATAATCTATACATGACATTGCTTTATTGAGGACGTGACGTAAATATTTGTTCTTACCTGAAGCGTAGTAAGATGTTTATCGTTAAATTTATCTTCAATATACCGCAGTAACAAAGATGTTTTCCCCACACATCCCTCACCCAACAAAACCACTTTGAAATTATGTGTACCACTCGGAGCGGTAGTCATCGTCGAACACTAGGAATTGTTCTCTATCGCAATATACTTAGGTAGAGCGATATTCTAGTATTTAAAATTACGACACCTACAGTAAAACAACGAACACATCCAAGTTGCAGCTAACTGGAAATTTTTATATTAAAACTTTACAAATACGCAAAACAACTCGATTAAGAATATTTATTTCCTTATTTTCTAGCTCCACAGCCTCCATTTACAAAAGGAGTTGACAATTTGACAAATGAATGAAGACAACTTACTTAGACAACCAGTCCTGCCAACCACTAAAAATTGTTGATTGGTAATCTCAGATTATACATACTCTTTTCATGTTAGTTTTATTTGTTCAGACTGAATTGTGTCATATTTGATTGATTTCGTTAAAATCATTTAAAGAAGTAATATCTGTATACGATTTTTACGGAATCATCAAATATGACACAATTCAGTCTGAAAAAATAAAAGTAACATTCCAAATTTAAAGTAATTCAAACATCATCACAAACCAAACAGATCGGAGTTGATATAAAAAGAGTATGTATAATCTGAGATTACCAATTAACAAGACGGAGCGATGGTTGATGGCTGTGGAGGAGGAGAGGTTTTTCTTTGGAGAGGAATGGCGGTGGGAGTTGGTTGATTAAAAAGAGGCTGAAGGGAGAAAACTTGTAGCAGGCAAGTGGGTCTTTGCTGGGAGGTCGGATTGAAGATGTAGGGCTGTATTGGTAGTCGGAGGTTTTCAATAGAAATTTAAGGTGGACTATGAGGAACATTGGTTTTATTGTGATAGACGTTATTAATTTTTAGTGTAGGTAGTGCTAACGTAAGGGGGTGTTAATAATAGAGATGCGAGCAGTGGAAGCGTGTATGTGAAATTGTTGTAAGAGGGAAAGGATTGGAATTCAAAACGGAATTTTTCAGAGAAACGTTTTACAGAATTTTTGATCTCTCTTCCTTTATAGTGTATTATGTTTTTTTTGTATTTTTGTGGTTTTAGTTTAGAGAGTGTTATTGTTGTTTTATGGTGGTGGTTTGCTTGTTGATAATTTCTAAATTTTTTGGGTTTTCTGTACTTGTCTGGTGTTATGATGTATATGTATTCATACTTTAATATAATTAATTTTCGTTACAAATGGAGTAAATTTGTGTTTTTGCTCTGTATAGACCGTTCAAACGTATGTCGTGAATTAACAATTTAATAAAATTAATTAATTACTGTGGTAGGGCCACGCAAGTGTTCGCTGTTGCACGAATGGGCAGGTCCGTCCGATTTAGTACCACGACCTCACAGAAGACCGACGTAAAGTTGAAGTGTTGCACTTCTGCGTTTCGTATGGTGAATGAGGTAGCCGGGGCCCACATTATTAAGAGTTGGCAACGCATCTGCAACCCTACGGGTGATACAAATGGCCATGGGCAGGCGATTATCTTAACATCAGGTGGACCGCCAGTGGTTTGCCACTTTCTCACATAAAGAAAAAAAAATAAAAGGAACATAATTAAATATAAATAAAAATAACATTGCAATGAAAAATAAAAACATAAGATTAGCGCATCAATTAAATACACATTACTACGAATTGTGCTGGTCGGTGGTGTCATTAAGAAAGACAAAAAATAAAGTAGATATAAGTAGACGTGCACAGAGAAGAACCGGCAAGGAACTCTGCGGTCTTGTCCTTTTTGTTATTTTTTTTTGTGATGCAATTATACAAACTTATTTAGGTCTAAAATCAGCAGCAGCTAGGGGTCTTGCAAGTGCAGAGCAAGAGTTATTTCCACATATCCTCAATGTATTCTTGGACATTATAGTAGGCCCTTGCCATTACGGGAGCTTTTAAAAATTGTTTGAAAATGTTTATACTTAGTCGTTTGTGGATATCACCTATTTTATTATAAAAGTTGATGCATCTACCGAGAAACGACTCTGATTTTAGCCAATCTATACCTCGTTACTTCCAGAGTGTCACCCGACGCGATGTGGATAGATTTTTCGTAAATAGGACTTAACTAAGTACAGAAGAATGAGAAGAGGACATTACGTCAACTTAACTTTAATATTATAACAAATTTATCACACACAAATAAAACCATTTGAATATTTTGATTTTGGTGAATAATTTTATGAATTTCTCCATCTATAAAATTACGTCAAAACGATCAAAAGACCGCTGCCAGATAAAACTTCAAGAAACAGTCTTGAAGTAATTTATTTTTATAAGTATTAATACACAAGATACAAGAAAGAGCCGTTTCTAGCGGCGGCATTTCAATCAAAATTTTTAAATAAAAGAACACTCATTGTGGCATAACTATAATAGAGACGTATGCTGTCGCGACACTTTGTAAATAATGATGTGTTCTGCAAAGTCGTAGCCTACATTATTTTATTCTATCATCATTATTTTTCGCAGCGCACGCGATGGAAAGAATATTTTAGGTAATTTTTGTACACATTGGGTTACATTATTGAAGTTTTAGTAAGGATCCCTATTTTTTAAAAATATAATATAGCATATGTCAACCGGAGATAATGTAGCTTCCCAACAGTGAAAGAATTTTTCAAATCGGTTCAGTAGTTTCGGAGCCTATTTAATATATAGAAACAATCAAATCATTCCTCTTTTATAATATTAGTATAGATAAACGCCTTACTTAATTAAATAGTATTTTGAAACAACAAAATTACCAGTTTGTGTGCGCGATGCGCGCGCGGTTTTCTATGTAAAATTCTTTATAATCGTACAAAAATTTATTTTCCATCCTTTGGTGTCTTATTATAGTTGATTCCACTTTTGATGGGTTCCACAAGGTTTGTGAGGACTGACCTCGCTTTGATAGGTTCATAACTACATACATTTTAATTGCACAAGTTTAAATATCTTTATTCTTTTTTTATATAAGCATATAATTTTTCACATATTGTTATGAACAAATTAAGCTTGATTGACATGGCATCCAATTGATTCTATCAGTTGGGTTTATCCACTTTTTTACAAAACTCTATAAAACAATTAAAATAAGTATCCTCAAGATGAATATGATTGTTTACAGTTAAATTATCACTATGGATTATCTGGATACCATGTCGATATGATTTATTGAATTATTCAAGAAATCCTAAATTATTTAGATTAATTCATATCGACATTATATCTAGGTGACACATCCATCAAAAATACATTTATTTATCTGCAATAACGCATTAATGCAATATCATCTGGATTGAGATTCTTAAGATCCGGAACATTTTCAAACGGAACCAAAAATCCTTGACTTCAAAGAATTTTTTAACATAATACTCCAGGATCATTATCATTTCAATCTCCCGCGAAGTACGACCCTGAGCCACCAGCATCCATCGACTGCCCGCACATTTGCACTGGTCGTCACTTCATCAGGTAGCTTGCTGCAACAACAGGGACATGACCATTTTGTCTTATAGTCTTCGGACAAATCTTTCATAGGTTTATATATGGCCTGGTCCACGTGAGTCCCTTCGGTATATTTATAAACAAATAAAAATCTTAACGCTCCCGTCGCTATTCATACTTGAGAACATCATGTATGTACGAAATAACATACACCTTTTTACAAAAAAGTATACCTTCTTGTATCACTGATGTTTTTGCTTTCATATCTTGTATTAACTGATGTTTCTGCTTTCACTCCCGAGACTATTAAAGCTTCATCTGACGCAGAACCGGTGGGCTAGCCAGATCCCACGGGTTTGGGCCCTCCGCTGTGGGTAGGGCCGCGCATGTGCTCATGCGTGCGTTTAACTATAGTAAAATATATGACATCGCGTCGGGGCCGTGGTGACACGTTGGAAATAAATACAGAGGTTCAGACTAGCTAAAACCAGGAAATCGTTTCTTGGTAGATGTACTACCTTATATAATAGAATAGATGACGTATGACAATTAAGTGTATATAATTTCAATCATTTTGTAAAAGCCACCTTAATAGAAAAAGCCTATTATAATTTCGAGGAATACATTGAGGACTAGGATGTGTGGAAATGACTCTTGCTTTGCACTTGCAAGTCCCCTGGCTCCTGAATGAATGAATGAATGAATGAAATACGCTTTTTTGTACATCAGAAAAAATTAAAGAAGTAATAAACAATTACATAAAGGTACGATTGGCGGCCTTATCGCTTAGGAGCGATTTCTTCTAGGCAACCATGTTACAGAGAATACAATGATCAGTGAAAAGGGTTTGAGGTATACGCTATTGTAAATATGGGTATTATATACATAACACTACTACATCTACACAAATAAATAAATAAAATAAATAAATATATATAAATGAATAAATACATAAATATTTATATATAAACAGAAGGGAACAGTAAGTGGACAAAAGCCATATAACGCATTGGAAATTTCATTTTAAATAAATTAAGAGAATAAAAAGAAAAAATCATAATGCAGTGATAAAATGTTTAGGGAGGAAAAAAGTGAGTTTGGACGAGTCTTTTAAATATTGCCAATGATTGCGGCCGCCGGATTTCAAATCCTGACCGATTTGGAGTAGAAGGAAGTATTATGAGAGGGAATTTTTAAAGTCAGGCTATTATCGGAGCGAAGAGAGTGACTGAGGAACTCAAATCTCTCTTTAAGATAAGGAGGGGAAGTAGGATTGAATAGAATACAGTATAAAAGAGAAAGAATGTGGGTATTCTGGCAAAGGCGAATCGGAAGTCACTTGAGTTTTACGCGATGTTCAGAAACATGGTCATATTTTCTTAGTCCAAATATACCGTACACAAAGATTTTGAATGGGCTCAAGTTTATTAAGTAAGTCTTCAGTAAGATTTAAATAGCGTGCATCAGCATAATCAAGAATCGATAATAGGAGTGTTTGTGCAAGTGTAATTTTTGTTGGTATGGCTAGGAAATTACCTAATATACGGAGAGATCCAACCGACGCAAACAATCTCCTTCTCACCTTGTTCACACGTGGGGCCCAAGATAAAAACTTGTCAAAAGTAACACCGAGAT